TGCTGCATGCCAGGGAAATCTTTGCTGAGCCTGGAAATCTGCCACTGAGCTGGTCATGGGCTATTTCAAGGAAAGGAAAAGAAGCGATAAGAGACGAAGCAAGGCTGAGTCAGCTCTCCTGACGGGCACTTTGAACTCAAGCCCGGGTTTCTGGCAGTGTCTTTTCTGGATGAGGCAATGAGGAGCAAAGTCAGGGAGCACTGATTCAGTGCGTTGCAACACACTGTGGTAGCCGTCGGCCCTGCTGCCGCTTCCTCCCCCCCCCCCCCTTTCTCTTCTCTCCTCCACTTCTTTGAAGCTTCCTCCTAGCCAGGCACCTCGTCTTTCACAGTAAGACTGCAAGGAGGACTCTGCTGGATCAGGCCAACCTTCAAGCATACTTTTCACAGTATCTGATGCACAGGAGGCAGCAGTGGCATTAAGTATTGGCCCTCCAAGTAGCTGCTAGCCATGAGTAGATTGTACATTTCAGTCATTTGCACAATCTCCGTTCCAGCCAAGTGACTGCCGCACCACGTGGCTTTTCTTTTAGGCTGCAATCCAGCGCATGTTTAGATGGGGAAAAGTACTGGAACTCCCAATATGCCTCCCCATGCACAGGATCCCACCCTCTGGCTTCTATTCTGATTTTATCAGCCATGGAAGCTGTTCTACACTGAAGCAAAATCTAGGGTGTGGTGTGTTTACAACCCGGCACTGAGTAATGGGAAGAACCAAAATGCCACAAAAGATTGTGCAAGTGTTCAAGTCCTCCAGAACTTCCTCAGGGGAGGCCGATTTTAAAAAATATACCTGATCTTGCCATTTCGAGCCTGAGCCTGTGGTGCCACCATTTCAAAATGGTGACTGCAGACTGACTAGAGTCACTGGAAGGTGTTGTGGCTTTTGGATAACACCTGCTGGCACAAAGACACAATGGCTGACACCGTTTCTGAAAACACACATGCTGGTTGTTACTCAGATCTGTGCGTTGCCTCGGCTGAGGTCCAAGCCCCTGCACTTACACGGAGTCATCTCCACTGGTTCATCTAGTCCTGTATGGTCTACTTTGGAGTAGCTTTCCAGAGCATCCTGCAGAAGTCAGGGCAGGCCCCTGCTTCCATCAGCTTCTTTCATCGGGTACGGAGCTGGATGCTCAGTCTGCAAGGTCCTTTCTGTACTGCTGAGTTATGTCCCTTCTCCAAAGTTTCCTGATGCCTGTGCAGGCTCTTCTTGGATGTTCAAGCTGCCCGATTCTTTTTTTCTAGACAAAATGCGCCAACTAGATGATGCAGTAAAACCAGGAGGCTGCTATCTAGTCAGGAACATCTGGGTTTCTTTGTGTTAGCTTGGCATGGCTCCAGTTCTGAGTGCGCCTGTGTGTTCGCCAAATCAGACTCAAGGCAGGAAATCTGGCAGTCCGATCTCCTATTTTTTAACCTAAAAGCAGCTGCATAGGGCCTGTGTGGGGGGCTCATAATCTGATCAGAGAAGCCCCCCTAGGAAAGGGAATATCACTGTCTGCTGGATGGTTGCATTTTGTTGCTGCTTATTTGACTTATTCTTGGAATTTTTTTTTTTAAACTTTGCTGTTTCTGCTAGTGTTTGGCAGTAATCCCACAAGTTCTGTGTAGTCTCTTGAAATTTTTTGCATCCTCCAAATATTTTGAATTTCAGCTCCCATTGTCTTTAGCGAGCAGGAATCATAGGGCTTCTATTCCAGAACTTCTGGAGAGCACAGGGCTGAGCAAGGCTTTTCTACTGCAACATGCAGGCTTTTTACATTGAGTCTGTTCAAGGTTCTTCTTGGGAGCTGGTTGACTCAGCTTTTCTCAGATGGTATAGGCAGCTGAGCTTGGCATTGAATCCGTGTTTTGTGCAAAGTCAGATGACAAGCATTTAGATTTTTAAAAATAACAATGTTCAGATTTTCTTGTATAGTTTACTTTTTTAAGGTACTGGGAAATGTTGACTCTCCTTGCCTTTCTGTTCTCTTTTTTCTTTTAATGGTCCTGTGAATACAGCTCTGACTTTCGTGTGCGTTGAATGCCCAGTGACAGCATGGTTGCTGCCCCCACCCCAAACAAGGCTTTAGGCATTAGCTCTATGCACACTTACTTAAGAGTAAGCTCTGCTGGACTCATTGGAACTTAATTCTGAACAGATATGAATTGGATAGTGCTGATAGCTTAGATTCATGAGGACTGTATCTCCCCTGCAGCTAGGTTTGCAACCCAGGGTCAAAGTCCTGGGCGCCACAAGCCCTCATCCACAAGGCAAAGTGGCTTTCGACCAGAGCACAGCAGGGGATCATGGAAGCGGCAAGCAGGCCCCGGGTCAGTGCCTGGCCTCACCTGGGCCTGCTGAAGTCCACCTGGGCTGCTTCTGGTTGTTGAAGCATCTTTTCTTCTTAGCTTTAAAAACATTTTAAAAGTGGGGGCAAATGGCTGGGTATGTACATGTGAACATACTGATTTTATTTATGTTTACTTGTAAAATAGATTCTCTCTTCCAATAACAAAATGCTTATTTATTTATTTATTTTGGAATGTTTGTATGCCGTCCCATTCTCATAAGCCTCGGGATGGCTTCCAACATCATAAATAAATACATATACAAATAGATACATATATCTGTTTTCTTGTAAGGAAATCTCTTTAGCATCTGGACAGCGGAAAGCAAATTCTGTTTCATTCCTGCTGTCATGATGGCGCCTTGTTTCAACTTAAATTTATAATGGGAAACTGAAAAAGCTCAGGCTATTTCATTTTAACTGAGTCGCTAAGAAACTTATTTGTATTTATTCATGCATTGTATTTGTATCCTCTGTTTTTTCCTCTTTTATGGAACTTAAGGCAGCTGACACGACCTTCCTCCTCTTTTCTATTTCATCCTCACAACAATAGCCCTGTGAGGTTGGCTAAGCCGAGAGTCTGTGAGTGGTCCAAAGGCACCCAGTAAGCTTTATGGCTGCGTGGGGACTTGCATCTCCCAAATTCCAGTCCAACACTAATCACTACTCTCTGCTGCCTCTGGAACATATGAGGAACATAGGTTGTAAGGCATGGACAGCACAGAATGTTGGAGTTGGCATGGGAAAGAGAAATGTTAGTTGTGTACTTTGGATTCGCAGTAATGCACAGCATAATCTGAAGCCTTCTCCCTACCACTGTTCAAGAGTGTGGAGTCCAGGGCATAAACCCACCTAGCTGCACCATTGCATATTAGTGAATGGATCCTCCATGCTCAGATGCAATCTACTGTTGGATCCTGGAAAGCAGTTAACTATCTCTATACTGCTGGTGTGTGAGTTTCCATAAGTTTCATGCAAGCTACCATTGATTTACACTAAATGAATCTCACCTTGATTCAACAAGAATTGCCCGATGTTCCTAAAACTCTTTAAAGGCCTGGACTAGCATGGATTGATTTTATTTTATTTTATTTTATTTTATTATTTTATTTTATTTTTTTGAGAGAGAGTCTGGTACCATTTTAGCAGCAACAGGAAAGAGGCAGGTCCCTCGACAGTTTGGCGTCAGCCCATGAGCTAATGATAAACTACCTTTCCATCTTGAGGTTAAGATGGAAAACAGTCAACATTGTTCAGATACGCTCCATTTTGTTTCGCTTTGTTTTGAACCAGCTTGCAGGCTGAAAATGGCCTTGGGATGAGATAAGGTTTTCCAGTAGCTGACTAGGAATCTCTCCTGCCTGTTACTTATTTGTGTATGTGTGCTCTTGAGCAAGCTAAATTGTTCCTTTCATTGTGTCTTTTGTCTGCTCCTAAGAGATAAGCACCGACTTGATTGATGAGAGGTGTTCTTTGGGTTGCAGCTTGGGCATTGGAGCTGCTTTGGGGGTGATCACTGGACCAAAACAGAAGCACTTTTGGGAATCTCTCAGCTGATCCCTTGATGTTTTCATTCATACCTATAAAGCAGCTATAGGGGGAGCTACCAAAGTTGATCAGAGAGGCGATGCATGGATAAACGATGTGTCGGTGAACCATTCTCCTTGTTCCGCTTCCCTCCCATCCAAACTCCCTATTAGCCCCATAGCAATCATGTGTGGAACCTCCTCAGTTCCCAAAATGAAAAACCCAGCCATCCCATCTGCTGTGCCCTCTGTGTTTTAACTCGCTTCCTCGCTCAACTATTTGCTCATGAGACTGGGACAGTGGTAGTTTTCTGGTGACCTGGGATGATTACAGCGGAGAAAGTCTGTTTCGAAACCGGATCAAGTGCAGGCCTGTTTCTCTTGAGAAGATCTCTGCTGCCAGTGGTTGGCATCTTGCACGCACAAGTTGTGTGGCCGGAGCCCCTTTTAGCCTACTTAGGATTTCAGCTTTCATGTGGTCTCTTAAACAGTACATTTCTGGCTTGCTTGGATGTAAGCACAGTGTTAGAATATTGAAAGCCAGATTAAATGTGGCCCCTTCCAACTTGGTGATTCTAGATTTGGAGGGAAATGCAAGGTGTCCGAAGCCTGTTGGACAGGTTTGGCCTAGGCACGTAGGTAAGTTATTATATGTGGTCAGGTTGCCATGGAAACATAATAGTGGGCTTAATGGCTGGCCTTATCTATAGCCTGGAAAAACCTCTTCCCCCTGAGCTGGGAGGCAATGGCTCACACACACAGAGCAGTAGAGCCATGGAAATCCACTTTAAGTGATTAAGTCTGGATCCAACCCAGTGTAAGTGAGGAATCTGTGTAAGGAAACAGTGGTTTAAAATAAGAGGGGAAAGGAGTTGATATACAGTTGGGCTTGAATGCTGGAGATGTTTTAGGATGCTGGCTTCTTAGATGCTCTTGAAGAAACAAGGATCCATCAGCAACCAGTGATTCATGTGGTGTTCAGGATCCGGCCACTGCTGCTAAGAGTGCAACACGGGTTCAAGGGAAAGGCACTGCATTGCTGGCGAAAGCTTCCAGCTTAGCATGGCTTCTGGGAAACTAAGATGTGCCGGGCCTTTTGGCCACTGCTCCTAAATCTGGGTTTGGCTTCTTTGCCCTCACAGGCTGCCCCGTGCTCAGTGAATGCAGTGACGGAGGACATTTACACCAACGGCTCGGCCACACTGGGCTCCCCGGCCCACGCAAATGGCCGGGAGGTGCGGAAAATGAGGTTCATCCAGTTTGAGAAGGTCACAGAGGAGCCCATGGTGAGCTGCTGGGAGAGAGGGCATTAACCTCAGTGGCTGCAGGTACAGGAGAAAATAGGCTTTTTGTGGGCAGGCTCCTGAGGCGAATGAGACAAAAGGGAGAAAGACCAGGGCAGCCTTCGGTCCCATTGTCCCGGATTGTTTGCTTTCCGGAGGGCCGATTCTTCAAAGGATGCACAGCTCTGCCCATTCGGCCCTCTGGTGCAGATGAACGGTTAGCTCATTTGTTTCAGTGCGGCCATGCACTGCTCTGATTCCGACCAGGACCAGCCCTAGCGTGGCACTCCAGGAAGGGTACGTTAAGCTCCCCACAGTTTTGCCCCCAGATGCCGTCCCTTTGTGGGGAGGGGGAATTAAAAAAGGGCAAAAGCAAATGTCCATTGATTCCAATGAAGGCACCTAATTGTTGTTGTTGTTTAACCTCCTCCTTCCTGTGTTTGTGTGCAATTTGGGGATGACTGGTGGGTGTGGGGGAGAACTTAAATACTCCCCAGCAGAACCGATGGTTCCAGTCAGGCTGGGGCTGAGTGCACTGACACTGCAACCGTCCACCACAGAAAGCTTAGCTGTGCATCCTATGAAGTACCTTCAATATGGAACGCAAGGCAGGATCTGATGCTCCCTTCCAATTTTCTTGTGGATGGGGCTTCCAGGGCAGCCTTCCATGATCTGCTGCCCTCCATGTTCCAGACTACAACTCCCAGGATTCTTGGCAGTTGGCCATGCTGGCTGGGGCTGTGTGGAGTGGAAATCCAAAACGTTTAGAGGGCACTGGGCTGGGGAAGGCTGAGCAAGTGAGCATTATCAGGCAGCTTTGACCAGTCCAGGCAGGATAGAGTCCTGCCCAGGGTCTGTCGCAGTGCCGAGGCAGAGCAGGAGGGGCTCTGCAGAGCAGAGGACCCTCTTGTCCTGCCATCTCGGTCCAACTTGTCGCTGTCTGTTCCAGGGCATTACGCTGAAGCTGAATGAGAAGAAGAGCTGCATGGTGGCCAGGATCCTCCACGGGGGCATGATTCACAGGCAAGGTAAAGAGCAGAAACTGGGCTGGGGAAAGGACTTTCCTCGCAGCAGTCCCCTCTCCCATCACACCTTGTTGTCCCCGTCCTCGTCCCAGAATCTGATGACACGTTGGTGCTCGTGGCTGACTCTCTCTTCGCTTTTAGGGCAACTATGGGATGCCACCTTTATCTTTACAATGGAGTTGTTTTAGGGACTGGGGGAAGAGACAGGTTGGATGAGGTAGTGATGTCAAAGCAGGTCAGTGCAGAAACTTCCAGGTGTGCTAGATTGCAAAGTCCATCTTTCCCGACAAGGGCCAATGGCCATTCTGGCTGGGGATGGTGGGAGCTGATGTCCAAGCACATCTGGAGGGCTGGGGAAGGCTTTGGATGGAATTAGGTTGCCTTGCTTGCAGCCAGGGGCAAAGGTTTGCCTCAAAGGATGAGCCAAAACACCTCAACTGTGCGTGATGTAGAAGTCTAGGCGCAAAGCAGTCCCAACGCATTTGGAGCTTAAGCCAGTCTTCCCTAAGCCTGTCCCTACCGACAACAGATCCTGCCATCCCCCACAAGGGCTGATGGGCAAGCTGGTTGGGGATGATAGGACTTGCAGGAGGGCAATAAATTATGGAAAATTGCCATTTGCACGCTTCATGGGCAGGCGGAAAAAACGTGAGTTAGCTTCATCGGCTGAATAACGTGCCATCTGTGTGAGTCACAGCCTAATGTATCTCAGCTGTCGCAATTAGTGATGCATTTTTTTAACACCGCACAAGCCTATTTATTTATTTATTTGTTAGCTGTAAAGCTCCTACCTCTGTTTCTTTCCATAGCGCTGAAAGTAGAGAAGGGGGATGCAGAAGATGTGCCCCCCCCCCGTGTAGGACTGTAATTCCCATCCATCTTTGTTATACTGGCAAGAGCTAATGGGAATTGCAGTCCATCCGGATCTGGAGTGTCATGTATTCCTCATCACTGGTATAGGAGGAGAGGACTCTTCCAGAGGTTTGGGGAGGGTCAGGAAGTGAACATTCTTGGGAATCCGAGTCACTGCTCTCTTGGCATCAACACCGTATCTGTAATAAGGTGATAATAATAGCAATTGTGAGAATCCCTCAGCTAATATTTGTGAAATGCTTTGCATGCCAAGGTGCAAATTGGCCTTCTGAATTTTTTTTCCAGACTTATATAAGCCAGATTCTGGGGTGCTGACTAAGTGGCTCCCCGCACTGCCACCACTGCCTGCCTGTGTTCCTCACATTTGACCTTTTAGGGTTGCTTGCTCGTGACCAGGAAGCTAAGCACTGTCACCCGAAGTAGTGTCACCTGGTGGGATGCTAAAATGGGAGCTTCAGTGCTTCTGCCAATGCAGGCCGGGATACCTTGCAAGCTGCGTGGCCAGGAACAGCCTGGCCACCAGAACATGCATTGCTAAGGGTGAGGGTTAGACCTGGAGTCAGATCCACAGCCGCTGCTTCACCTTCTCCGCTGTTGCTGGCACTGCCGAGCAGAGCCTGCCCAACCTCATTAGTCCGTGTTTTCCCTGGCAGGCTCCCTTCACGTGGGGGATGAGATCCTAGAAATCAATGGGAAAAGTGTTGCCAACCACTCTGTAGACCAGCTGCAGAAGATACTGGTAGGTACGGGGTCAAGGGAGGAGGGGATTGGTACGGTCTTCCAGGGGGCAGAAATCTGGTGTAACTTCCTTTCTCTTGCAGTCCGACTGTGGGACCTCAAGGGCTGCATTCTGTTTCCGCTCAGAGGCTGTATTCCCTTGGTGGGCAGGGCCAAAGGCATGGAGGAGGGGTGTCCCAAAATGCAAAATAAACATATTGTTGCTTAAAGCTCTTACTGCCATTGACTAAGCCTTGGGAGTGCTCAAAGCAGCACGACTGGAGAGCAGGGAAGGAATCTACTAGATAAAATTCTCCCCTTAACCCGAGTGGGGCAGGGGGGAAAGAATGGAATTTGGATCGTGGAAACAGTGGAAGGGGTGGGATGAGGCCCTCTTTCCCCAGGGATGCTGTTCCAAGTAAAATCAGGGGCTCTGCCCCCACAGCTGTTTTTAAAGAAATGGGAATTGTGGCTTTCTGGAAGCACTTCTCATTGCTCTGACATCATCTCCTGCGGCCCCAAAGAGACCAGGGTCTATTAATTCTCCCCCCCAGTTTTGCACCACTAGCACTGGGTTCGTGACAATTTGGAGAGGGTGAAGGGAAAGCTACGTAAGGCTTTGAAACTGGCTCCTGTTGGATCTTCCCTGAGTTCACAAGTCGGTCTTCTCCAAGCTTTGGGAGCTCTGTAGGGCACTGCGTTTGTGGGATTTTGCAAACAGCCCCGAGCTCCTAACTGTATTCTCAGTGGGGGCAGCTGAACTAAAAGAGGTTGGGATCCCAGTCCTGTGGCTGAGGTCTAGGGTACAGCCTTTCCCAACCCGGTGCTCCAGATGTGTTGACTACAACCCGAACATCTGCAGCGGCCCATGGCATTGGAAGGCTGGAAGCTGCTTCCTGCTCCAAGTGCTGATTCTCTCTCTTTCCTTTTATCCACTAGAAAGAAACCAAGGGAACGGTCTCCCTAAAGGTCATTCCCAACCAGCAGAGCCGCATTCCCGCACTCCAGGTAGGTGGAGTTTCCACCGTCAGAACTGTCTTAGTGGGGTTGCCATGGTCTTTATGGGAGCCTCTGAAAACTATGTCAGAAAACTGTGCCTTTGAGCCCAATTTCTGCGCCAAAGACGATTCTGTCAATGGGAGTTAAACTGGATACAGATCTCCTTCCTTCCTTCCTTCCTTCCTTCCTTCCTTCCTTCCTTCCTTCCTTCCATCCATCCATCCATCCATCCATCCATCCTTCCTCTGCTTAGACCTGAGGAAGACAAAGAATTCTGCAGACCAAGGATACGTGTCTGAGAAGTAGAAATCCCGTTCTTTCCTATGCTTCCCTCCCTTCCCCTACCCAGTAATCTTCCATAGTTTAGACTGCTTTAAAAGAAAGTTAGACACCCTGATAGGGAAGACTGGTTCTATTAGCTGTGAAAGATAAATGGAACCTCCAGAGCCAGAAGCAGTGTATCTCTGGATATCCATTTTCTGGAAGAACAGCAGCAACGGAGACCTGTTGACTTCCTTGAGCCACTGCAGTGCCCAGAAACAGTGGCACTGTGCAGCCTCTGTAGGGAAACAGGCTGGTGGACGAAGCAGGCCAGGGCTTTTGAACCTTTTCCGGTGTGTGGGCCAGATTCCGTTCTGGAGGATTTCTCAGCAGCTGCATTCCCGTGGTAGATAGCACAAAGTTACAAAAAAGGCAGGGCAAAAATATCCGCACAGTATACTTCAAAGTGGTTAGTGCCAGTAATAATATCCGTATATAGTGATATCATTTGAAACTTGCAATTATTAAAGTGCTGTGTGTATTCTCTGCTGTAATCCTCACCTACCCCTTTCGTGGCCATTGCAAAGAACGACTTAATTCTGCAGTCGGTGAAAATTATGCAGGGGGCATACCTGGATATTGTTGCTCATCACGTTTCATTTTCAGCCACATTCTGAAACGCTTCCCCCACCCTGGTGCTTCCCACAAGTTCTGGACTACCAGTACGCAGCACTCCTGGACCAGCAGCCATGCTGGCTGGGACTGAGGAGGAACATACAATAGATAATGTGTTAGTTTGCACTTAAAATTGACTATGCATTGCATTTAAAGCATAATTTACTCAGACAATAATTACAAAGTTATTGAATTTACTTTTAAACGATTTTAATTTCATTGATACTTTTATGAACAAACAGAGATACACACATTGTCTCCTATGTTCCTAAGGCACCCAAGTGACTTTAGATCTGTAATGACTTTTAAAAAAGAACTCTATTTTCCATTTCTTTCTCTTCCCTCCCTTCTGGAGCAAAACATCCCCCCATGGCTTCCAAATTTCTAAAATAATACATCTCTAATATACTCATTCATTTGGGCTTGCAGCTGTGAACTTGATGGTGAATACAGTTTTTAGTGACATCAGTGATATCTGTTTGAGTCCTGAGACAATGTAGATAACTTTAATACTTATTCTTCCACAAAAGAAATACTCATAGAGGCCTAAATGCTTTCCCACCCTATGGGAATGCAGGATCCACATGGATTTTGCAGCAAGGAACTTCTTTTCAGTTTCTGCTCACTGGATTTGCCCGGAAAAGTCCATGTGGATCCATCATGTGGGGAAAAAAGGCCAGTAGGATAGCAGAGAGATCGCCCTGCCTTGAAGCTCTGGGTGGCCAGGGGCAAATTTTAACTGATGGATTACTATCCTGCCCAATAGCCAAAGCAGCCTGGCCAAATTACTCTCTTCTCATCTCTGAAGTCCACTTCACAGGGTTGTTATGAAGATAAAATGGGGAAAGTGGTGATGCTTCCTTGAGCAATTTGGGATCAAGGTGGAATTTGAAAGTATAATAAACACACGTCTGCGCTTGTGTGGGGACAGGCTGAGCATTCATTTATGTTCGCACGTGCCCGTGTTGGATAGTGAGGGGAGGGGAGGGAGGGCTCGACTGGCTTAACTATTGTCTTGTTCCCTTCAGCTGCTATTTTTAGGGAGTAAAGGGATCTGCTGATGTGGTGTCAGAGGGAAGCAGGGTAGAGATCGTGGGTTCCTTTCGGGTTCTGCACTCGCCTTCCTCCTCCGATCTGGCTTATTCCCACACCCACAGCCCCTCCTGCATCCACCCCTTGCCCCCCCGCGCAGTGCGAGCGCCAGTGCCGCCCCGTTGACTCCTGGCCTCCCTCTTTGCTGCAGATGTTCATGAGAGCCCAGTTTGACTACAACCCGCAGAAGGACAACCTGATCCCTTGCAAGGAAGCCGGGCTGCAGTTTCGGACCGGGGATGTCATCGAGATCATCAACAAGGATGACAGCAACTGGTGGCAAGGCCGGGTGGAGGGCTCCCCCAACGGATCCGCAGGGCTCATCCCCTCCCTGGAGCTGCAGGAGTGGTACGTCTCGTCTGAGTTGCTGCACTGGCACAGCATCCCTTCCTTCTAGGCTCCCAGCTGAATCTCTTCAGACAAAGGCTGAGTTTTGGTGACAGATTGCAAGCATTATCGGTAGCCTCTTGGTGTCTCGGAACCAGGGTGCTGAAACTGGCATGATGCGGCCTTCTCTTTACATACGATTCAGGATGCTTAACCGAGCCCCTACCTCTCGGGCGTCCGTCAGCTTTTGACTTAGCTTCCCTTTGGGCACAGTGTCCTCCAAACCCTGTGCTCTGTGAGATCACTTGGGAATAAGGCTGAAGACTTGCTGGTACTCAAAGAGTGAAGAGACTCAGAGAGGAAAGTAAATGCTATGCGAAGGGTGTGGTTTTTTACTTGTATCTTTTAAAAAGTGACCCCAGATTTGATGGGGGATTAACTAGAACATTCAAACAATTGAAAATACATTTTGGAAAATTACAAGAACAGCATTCATAAAAGTAATAGAAATAAAATGAGATTAAGAAGTCTGGAAGAGTGAAAGGGGTATTTGCCTCTCTGAAATGGAATCAAAGTAGGCACTGGATGATGATGTTCCAGGAGAACATTGTACCCCTGCTTTAATTCTCCAGGAAACCAACAAACGTATGATCCCCTTCCTGATCCTCACAAGATGGAACTAAGCATTTTGATGAAGCAGTCAATTAGGAAAGCTGTCAATTAGTGACAGAGATGGGACGCATGGATAGGCGTGGGAAAGGAGGGCCCCATCCAGCAAACTCATTGCGACCCACCCTTTTCCCTTCTTGCAGGCGCGTTGCAAGCATGACCCAGGGCAACCCCAGCGAGAACCAGAGCTGCAGCCCGTTCGGAAAGAAGAAGAAATGCAAAGACAAGTACCTGGCGAAGCACAGCTCAAGTGAGCATCTCCTCCACTCCCCCTTTTCACTGGGATGAGGGGGATGGCACAGCTCAGCCCGCTTCACACACGCGCGAGCGTGTCTAGCCTGCACCCGCGTGCTTCGGGGTTTGCGGCTGGTGGTGCTCAGGAGGGCTGGATCTGGTTCAGGGGCTCACCTTGCATGTGCTGAGGCGGCAACTGCCCGCGTGCCACTCCTGGGGGACAGCCTGCCGCTTGCAGTGATCTTAGCACATCCGTTCTTGAGCTGGCGCCCTGCTGCTGTGTTGTGAACCTCATCATCCCCAGCCTGCATGGCTCTGCGAGTGGTAGTCTAATCCGTGGGGAGGAAAGCTGGTTGCGGGAGGCTACTGCGGCAGAACCCTACAACGGTCGTTCTTTTCTTAGCAGCTTGTGACGAGATGGTCCAAGGGATGCCACGAGCCGCTTGGCATGGCTGTTTTCTCCACCATCCTCTTAGGCTTACATGTAGGCTGAATGTGTGCCGAGTATGTTTTACACAGCTTGTTCAAGGGCCATATGAACATGGGTAGCCCTTTTAGTATTTTGCAGTTGCCCTGGGTTAAGTGGTCTTTAATGCCACTTACTAAGCAGCCTGAAGAGGTATGATAAGATCATGACACTTTGTCTCACTGCAAGGCAGCCAGAACCCCAACCTGGACGATGGAACAAGGGGAACGGGCAGTGTGGGGAACCATTCAGTCAAGATTCTTACTTTCCTTGTAGTTTTTGACCAGTTGGATGTGGTGTCTTATGAGGAGGTTGTGAGGCTGCCGGCTTTCAAGAGAAAGACCCTGGTGCTTATAGGTATGATTCATCATCAGAGTCTTCAGAACTTGTAACCATTAAATTAACCTTCGGAAGAGGCAGTGGGGTTTGTGCCAGGCCTCTTTCCATGCATTGCTCTTCCTTTTGGAGCAGGAGCCAGCGGCGTTGGCCGAAGCCACATGAAGAACACGCTGCTCAGCAAGAACCCTGAGAAATTTGGATACCCCATTCCATGTGAGTGAGCCCAGAAACTCTTTCCCACTCTGCTGGGAGGGGGTTGCCGTATTTCCCTCCTGCTTTGGGAAGCTGCCATCTTGAGGCTTTCGCTGTGGCCCTCTCTAGCTGGGGAGGACCACTGTAGGCTGTAACCCATCAGGCAGCCATCAGGGCTGATCCAGAATGGCTTCCCCTTCCATTTCAAGGTTAGGGGATAGCAAAGTTTACAGTGGAACAGTCAATTTCCTGGCTACTGCACTCTCTCCTCCCTCAAGAATGCCCCCTCAGCTTTCTTGAGGGAGGAGCTTTTTGTAAGCCGCCTGGAGACGTTCTGTAGGGGATGGCACAGGAAAGCTTCCCACCGCCACTTCCTTGCAGCAACTCAGCATTGCGTTGTCCGTCCTCCTTTTTTGCAGACACCACCCGGCCCCAGAAGAAAAATGAAGTGGATGGGAAAGACTACCATTTTGTCTCCACAGAAGAAATGACCAGAGACATCGCTGCCAATGAATTCCTGGAGTTCGGGAGTTATCAGGGCAATATGTTCGGCACCAAGTTTGAGACTGTGTGCAAGATTCACCAACAGGACAAGGTTGCCATATTGGACATTGAGCCACAGGTAGGAGAATGAGTCAAAGTTTCTTCTATTTAGGGATAATTATTAAGCTGGGGAGCATCCTTGGATCATTGTCCCATGGCAAAAATGCATCAAATGGAGAAAAGGAACGAGCGATCGCAGATTAGAGAGGAACCATGACCCAAAATCTTTTCTTGGAATCCTTCCACTCCCCGCAAATCCTCAGAAAATGCCTAAAGCATACTTCCCCTGCTTATTTATTGGATTTCTAGCCCACCCCATTAGCCCCATGTCTCCCTTTACCCATTACCAATGATCAGAAGTAACCAGGACTGTAGTCTAGAACAGCCTTTCCCAACCTGCTGACCTTCAGGGGCATTTGGACCATACCTCCCAGAATTCCCACCCAGCAGGGCTATTGACTGGGAATTCTGGGTGTTGGCAGTCCAAACATGCCTGGGAAGCCACAAAGCTGGGGAAGGCTGGATTAGAACATCTGAAGGGCACCAAGTTGTGGGAAGGCAGAACTAGATACACAAAGCTTAATTGCTCGGGAAACTGACCTAAACAAATCGACACTTAAGTCTTTGAGCTAGGTACATTCCCACTCTCTTCTTAGGATTTTTAAAGTCATATTATTTAAAGTAGTTTGAAACTGGTTTAATTATCCTAGATTGTCCCAAAGCTCAATGGAAATTATAGTCCCCTATTAGATGCCTCTGTCAGGAGTTTCTGAAAGAACAAAACCAAACATGACAGATCCCACAGGGCTGTTTTGTCCTAAATATAATCCTGGAACATCCTGGACAGCTCCCTAACAAGACAGACACACAAGCTGCCTTCCTGAGATGAATGGATGTTAAGTGACTCTTTTGCTCCCTATTTGGCAGACTCTGAAGATCATTCATACTGCTGAGTTCTCCCCTTTCATTGTGTTCGTTGCTCCCCCGGACAAGGCTGATCAGGTAGATTCTTTGCTATTTATATTAAAATGCACACAGGGGTGCAAGTGAGCTGTGGGAAAACAAGACAGCTTTGATTTTGTTTTCTCTACCTGTGTGGATGCTCTGAAGGCAGAGCAACTTAGTTCTTCAGTCCACAAATTCATAGCAAACAGACAACTTAGCGCCTGTAGATTGTCTGGATCTTTGCAAAACATGGTTGGTGGCCTTGATTTAATCCAGGGAGATAACATTCAGGATTCCTCACTAAAGTAACTTTCTCTGAAGCAGAAAAGTACATCAGAAAATCATGGAGTCTAGAAAGGGGGAAAATAGGAGGCCGTTTCCATGATTTTTAAAGCCATATATACCACTTATGGCTTTCTAGTTGGCACTGCAAAAGCAGGTTCTACAATTGGCACAGCAATGTTCCCCATATTTACGTAACCCTTGCAAGTCTCTGAGGAGCTTGGGCCAAAGTGATATCCTTGCCTTGCTCATGCCTCATTCTTCCCTCCCCTCTCCTGCAGTCAGAAACTTTGCAGCAGATTCAGAAGGATTCAGAGCTCATCCGGAACCGGTACGCCCACTACTTTGACCTTTCGCTGGTGAACAACGGTGTTGACGAGAGCCTCAAGCAGCTCCAGGAAGCCTTTGAGCGTGCCTGCAGCTCTCCGCAGTGGGTGCCTGTCTCCTGGGTATACTGAGCTGGCCTGGTGCTGGTGGAAGCAACGCCCAGAACTCCCCTCAATTCCGCATGCTGAGGAAACAAAAGGCCATGCCTTTCCCTGCTCATCCAGCACACAAGCCCTCTGCCCTTTTCCTTAGAACAGCTGTTGCTCTGTTGCCGGGATAAGAGTCCTACACTTCCACCTGCACACACAAGAAAATGTGTTTGGGCCTGCATTCATTGTCTGATAGCCCACAGGCTTGCACATTTTGGCAGTGAGGCAGCGAATAAGGATCACTGCTGTGAGGCTTAGGACAGCGTCACAAGCGAGCATAATAGCACCTTCTAGGTGAAAGCCATAAACTCTGAATGTTGAAAAGGGGGCACTGAGCTCTTCCAATGCTATTCTCAGATTAGGTTTAAGAAAATCATTTCTTTGCATCCCTTGGAACAAGGGCGGTCTTATCTTGTGACCTCTCCTTTTAACCCAGTTCATGTTACACATGAAGGGATGCGGCTCTGGGAGTTACACCCGCTTTTCCTGTTGTAGAAGGGACAGGCACAGAGCAAAGAGCAGCCCCAATTCCATGTGTGAAAGGATCACATTTTAAAGGCTACAGACATTTGAGCTCAGAGACAGAAAAGGGTGTGGCTGTGAAGAAGCCAGGGAACCAGCTACCTAGTTTTAAAAGCAGGGGCAGATGATGCCCGGAAGAAACCATCCATAATCAAGATACTGCTTGACTTTTCAAACATCCATGTTGTATGCCAGAATCTTGGCATATTTGCACAAGTTAGGGTAGCTCTGCTGGCAAGATGCAAGAATGCCTCACCAGGATGACTTTAAATCTTTCCCTCTGTCCACAAGCACAACTCTGGAGGGTATTCCTCAAATAACTATCCATATCCAACACAATGTCATTATGAGTAACTAGCAGCAACAACTGGAGCAGCAAACCTGCCAAGGAATTCAAAAAAAGCCTCAAGTTTTTGAGGATACCACCATAAGCGTCAATGGTGTGCAATAGGAACCACTGGTTGAGTCCATACAGGGAAAACAACCAGCAGCAATAAAGTGTGTTAAAATACTGTGTGACTTCCATGGCTTATTGTTCCACACACATCCTGCTCAGTTTAAAAATAAGCTGATGGTGGGTGGGCATTGGATTTGGGCTGTAGCTCCAGAACAGTTGTTCCTAGTTCATGTGTCCTGCCTGCTCCATATTCTGGAGAAATTCAAGCTACATTCTTGGAGCAACATGCCCCTGCTAGTATTTGCACGGAAGCTCGCTGGGGCAGATCTGTGCCGCTCAGGGCTTAGGTTCTAGCCTGTCAACCCACCACTGGCACTGTCTTGCTCTGATGCAAGCTGAATCACCATGCAATCCTGCACTTTTAAAATATGCTACGGTTTTATTTTTTAAAAATAAGTTTTGTTTTAGAGCCAGGAACATTTAGGTAACCGGCCAAATCTATGCAAGCTCCAGAAGATTACATGGACTTCCTTCGCTCTGGGGAACGAACACACGTGCATGTACATACAGGAGTGCTTTTCACCTCGTGGCAGGGAGGTGCTGGAGTCTACCCAGCACATGCGGGTTGGGCATCTTGGCACTGCTCATCTCCAGCCACTGTCAATCAGCGGTGCCTAGAGCAATCCCCGCCCGCCTTCTTCTGAAGCAGCATTTACTCCATTTGGGAGACTTAATTCTACCCGTACAGTACTGCTCCTGCTTGTGACACTTCAGCTTTTGACTACAGCAGCCTCCACTCCTCCCATTTACATGACAGCAGTGCAGCTGGCACTCTGACCCCCTTTCTGGATTAAGTTTATGCAGCACAAATTCCCTTCTCCCACAAGTGAAGATCCAAGCTAGCTCTACCCACTGCTTATTGCAGTAGCTTCAGTCATGGAAAAACTGTAGTAAAACAACAATTTGTAATCTTTTAATGTAAAAAAAGAACCATTCCTCCTATTAAAACCAACTTTGGTATTCTGTCATGAATGGAGGTGGAAGATAAAGGAGAAGGGTCTGAGCTGCATTACACAAGACAGCAGTGTGCAGAGCCACCCACCTCCCCAACCCTTCTTCACTGAACTGCTTCACTGAAGGACAGAAGTAATGCTGGAGGAAAAGCACAGTTTCCTCCCAGCTCCCTTCTTCGGATACACTTCAGGCTGCCGTTTCAAATGGCCCAGAGAAGATAAGCAGACGCAAGATGCTTCTGATGAACAACGGCGTTGGGAGCAAAATCGAGAGCTTGAGAAGAAGGGTTTAGAGGAGAGACCCCCCCCCCACAGCAATTCCAGAACTAAACCATACAATCTTAAACAAAAAAAATCAATTACTTGTTTTCTAAAAAAATGAAAGTGATAGGAGTTGGTAAGCTGAAATGAAAATGTTTAAAAGCATTCAGTGGAGAATCAGGACAAACCCATGGAAGGAAATATAAAAGCTTTAAAAAAAGGTAAACGTCTGCTCATGCAGCCATAAGAGTCCTCTCCTTAGGGCCCGACAACAAGCAAGCTCCTGTGACAGTTCAGCAGCTCTCTGACATTCAAGCAGGATTTATAGCACAAGGAAAAGGGAGGAGGGGGGACGGAGAGCAGTGCCTAGTTAAGGACATCATTACATGATACCTTGGCAGAAATCTCGCAAACATCCAGCAACTCCGTCTATGGATGCTCACAAGGGCCCTGTTTCCCCCAGTTATCCTTAGAACAGGACAGAGGAAGCTGGCCCGAAACTGTACACTGATCTGCACAGCAATCAGGACAAGTCTCTGCACACTGCGCTGTCAGGCCTTTGGACTCCTTCCTCCTGAAGTGGTCCAAGCTGCCTGCTCTGGATACATCTGCTTGGTTACTCTGAACTCTCTTCAACTTCTTGTTTCTTTTTCTTCTTTTTCTTCTTCTTCACACTTGTGTCAGCGGCCTGGGGGAGGAACAATGGAATTTGAGGAAAGAGCTGCATCCCTTCGGCTACCCTGCAGAACAAAGTACCAAGGCGTTCCTCATCCCTTCCCAGAAATGTGAACTGAAGGTGCTAAGCTGGCTTGAGGATATTCCATCCAAGAGCTCTGCCAACATATCAGTTACCAAAAATCAGTCTCCCCTTTGATACCAGGCCAATTTGGAAAGCGGCTAACACACAACTAACCACGAGGTGACGACTTGCTTGTATGACTTAGCCCACTCTGGAGAATGCTTGCCATATCCCTCAATGTTTGGCAGCAGACCAAGTTCATAAATTCACCACTCAACTAAGTTGTATGCTCAGATGAATTAAAACAGGAATTCTGCCAAGTGCGCACAGCAACAGATTCCTGATTAACCAGACACACCAGCAATGGATCGTGTAAAAGCCTACCGTTTCTGTCAGCTCCCCACTGCTCTCAGCAGATTCCACCTTCCTCTTCTCTTTCTTTTTCTTCTTCTTCTTCTTGGCTTCCACCTGTGGCTCCGGTGAGTCTGGAGGAGACGAGACCGCTGCCCCCTGCTCTCCATCACTCTCTATCTCCCGCTTTCTCTGAGAAAAACAAGCATCAGAGAAGTTCTCGTCAGTGCAGGGTACTGTGCAAATAGGTCAAAGGGGCAGGTGTGGTTTTTGCACCATTAAACTCTAGCACTAAACAGCACCATCTGAGCAAATGCCCTTGCTGCAGTTTCAGGACCAAGAGGGAACTTCCGGCTTGCATAGAATGCCTCCAGCGCCTGGCATTTGCTCTATTCTTGGAAGCATGGACCGAACTGAACACAAGCAGCAATCCCAGAGGACTCAAACCATTTCCACTGTTGGGATCTGTTATCCCTGCCATACAAAGGGCGTTGTAAACAGATGGTGCTGTTTATCACTAGACACATGAGAATATAAGGCTACCCACCCCGCAGCAATGGGCTGTATCTTTTCCCTTGACACAGGTGAACTGGGAACCAGAGAGCAACCTTCACAGAAAGGATTTGACTTCTAAGAAACGCTGTGGGAAGCAGAATGTTTAATGCCCCCCGTTTCAGCCTATACACGGTCACAAGCTATGCCAGGGCCACAGAATGTTACCATAACCTGTGCAAACAGTTTTTACCTACGAACAGCTGCTCCCTCTCCATACTCCTCCACCAAGTGCACAGTATTACTAAGAGAATGTTGTAGCTGACCCCATCCCAGAAAAGAAGCACGATGCTGGCACAATCTGTGGAACAAACTAACCTTTGGGGCCCTCTCTGGCTCCACCTGGACCTTGCTCTCTTCCTTTACAGCGCCCCTGGGAAGAAAACAGATGTTTATTTACATCTCAGCCAGAACAACTTGTATCATGTACACACCTGCCCTGAGCCAGCTTATTCTTGTTCTAGAAGCACCCAGTGCTGTATGGAAAGCTGGTAAAAGAGCCCCCAACCACATGCATGGGGGACCCAGCTGCAACTTTCCTGAGCTTAATTTAGCAGGCTGACTCCCTCTAGAGCCACAGAAAGGAGGCGAGAAAGGGATAACTGCCTGCTCAGCCCCACCCAGCACAAATGGCAACTCCCTGACCTCCCTTTTCCAGAACTTTGTATGCCCCAGGGCAGGATTCCCCGTGGAGTCTGTGGCAGCCACAGCAGACCTTACCCACTGTAATCCACGTAGTCTTTCTTCCACGCTGGTGGGGTTTTCTCATTAGGTTTCCCATGTGCATCTAGCAAGCCTTGCTTGATCATCATTTTTTTCTGGGATGCCTGAGCAAAGAATAAGCAGGAAGGTTGGCTTCTGCGTACTGTTACAAGACACTGGCCATGAGGTGTGGCTCTGAGAACAACTAGGTCCTGCCACCTCCATTAGCCAGGAAGGCCCTTGGCACTGTGCAAGACACACAAGCAAAGCAATTGCTCATGCAGCAGATTAAGCCCCGAGTCCCTTGCTGAGCCATCAGCCTTGGGTGATAGATGTGCGTCATCCTTGCACAAAGAAGCTATGAAGTCTGTTCTGACATCATTTGGCTCACAGTGGAAACCAACTCAGCAGCAAAGGCTGCAGTTAGACAGGGCAGCGTTTCAAACTGTTCCAGAGGCCAAGGAGCAGCTTGGGCTTTAGAAAGGAGAAATGCAGCAGTTACAGAGCGCGAGATGGACCATTTTGGTCCAACAATGGTCAGCAAGCAGTGAGCGGAAGGTCAACACCCACAGGAACTGGCTAATACAGAATACATCTCCTGACCGCTCTCCAAGGCTTCCAGGCAGGGCAAGCAAAGGGGCCAAGTCAAGCTGTTCCCCAGAATGTGCTCCTCCTCCGTGAAGGCAAGTGTCCCAGCCCCACCCACGACTCACTTTTGGACCGAGCCCCCACTTGCGAGGGTAGGTGTCCCTTTCCATGATCACGCGCTTGATCTTTGCCACGACTCCATGGTCACAGGTCGAGATCACTGCAGTTGTCATCAAGGCGATCGCTGCAGGAAAACGCAACAGGAAAAGCTGCACGTTCAGACACTCTTCTGCCTAACAAATCCTTTTTGTTCCATAATTCATACCAGTATGGATGCCAAGCACGGATTCTTCACTGTGCAACCACACAGCAAGTTCCATGCACACAAGTCACACACCAAGTGTTGTTCCCACAGTGCCCCGGTTCTTCTTGAAAGTGATTCTCTCTCTCTCTCTCTCTCTCTCTCTCTCTCTCAAGTAAAGCAAATATTTTTTACTCCTGATGGGAAGTGTGCCCACATGCCCAAGTGGCACGAGAAAGAAAACAGGGCAAGGAGAGTCCCTCTGCCAAGCTCCCCTAGTAGCTCGTGATGTCACCTCCCTGTATTTCTCTGCTCAACAGCTTTGGCATTAGCGAGAGGCAAATCAGGGCACGCATGATCAGACAGTTTCATTCTTCTTGGCTGAGCCAGAGCCTCTCAGCCCTGGCCCTGCTTGTTCCACCCAGCCCTGCCGGCAGCTGGCCCAGCTTCCCCACAGCCCCCAGCAGAACACTGGGAGGCTGAAAGGTGCCTGGAGGCTACACGGCATCAAGACCCTAGAACAGGAATCTGAATGCGGCAGGAAGGGCAGAGCAGCAACACTCAGAGAATGGATAAACTTGTTCATCACTTCACACGTCGCCCTGCACACGTGCGCGTGCACAAGGGCAGGGGCACGAACAAGCCTGTGCTACAGGAAGGATGGCTCCCATGACCACAGTTCTGAAGACACCACTTAGGAGAGCCAACAAAAAGAATCCACTGGAGAACAGGCAGGTTCAAAGAGGTCTGTGCCTGCATGTGCAGCAGCCCAGTGAACGTGGTCCCGCAAGTCTGCGCTTACCAGGTATGGCTGCCCACTTCGTACTCGACAAAACTATCCTGCCAAAAGCTAAATGAATCAATCCCAGGTTACCTGTCGCAGCAAGGGAAGTGCGAGGGATTGGGGCTCCACGACAGCGCCCAGCTCTCACCTGTGCAGATAGCCTCTCCCTTCGTGGTGATCACGACTATCTCCTGATTGACTTCGATGCCGTCCTCGTACCGCAGCAGGCCGGGCAGCATGATTTTCGCGCCATAGCAAATGGCATTCACCTGAATGGGCACAGAATGAGCGCCTGCATGTCAGACCCACACAGGGAGTGATGCCAGTGTGACTCCTACTAGCAGTGGGTGCACAACAGCGACACATGTAGAGGCAGACGTGTGCATGCACCCCAAATGATCCCCAAACGGGCTGCACATTCATTGCACCTCGTAGTGGCAGGGAAACAGCACCCTTTGCGTAAGGAAGATCTCTGGGAAGGGGGCAGAGTATGGTGGCTGTTTGTGGGGAATTCAGTGGGATGGGAAGGCCAGGGCCTCCTCTCCATATTGCAAGCCCTTGGCTTACATTCAATAGACATCACAGTACAACTTTATTTGTTATTGCTTTTTCCAATGAACATCCATCAAATCTCCAGGATCAAGCCAAAAAAAAATTAATTTCCTAATTAATTAGGAATTCCTAATTAATACTGGACTGGAAAAGTGGACAATTAATCCTGTTCATTCAGCAGAGTTTATTAGTGGTGGTGCTGATTAATCAACAGACAGATTTTTCATTTCTTAAAATGTGTAATAAGCATATCAACATATCTTAGGGAAATACTTAAGAAAACAAGGAACATCTCTAAGGGGAACATCAGTTGTAATGATAACATACACAGACACCCTTTAAAGCTAAGTATGCTTTTTTCTATTTAGGATTCAGTCCATACTTTCAAAGGTAATCAACTGATTGACTAAAAGTGCTACCATCAATCAACTTGAAGTTTCTGGAAGCAGGAATGACAGCTTCAGCAAGTAACAGTACTAAGCTAGTATCTGAAAACTTAACTAGGGACCCGCTGCCCTCTGGCCTGGAAGAAACTCTGAGTCGATTTCCTTGATGAAACTGACATAGCGAGCTGCAGCACCTGACACGGAGCCCTCAGTCCACGTCTCGGGAACTCACCGCACTGTCCTTCATGACCAGCCGCTTGTGGGACGTCAGCAGCTTCTCCAAGGGGAAGATCACTCTCCTGAGGTAGGTTTCGTCCTTGTTGTTGTCATACTGCCACTGCGCATCCAGCACGTCGTGCATGGTCACCATGTGGTCCTAGAGGGGGACACCAGCCCCATCACAACGTGTTAGGGCTTCCGCTACGAACAAGGCAGCGGCTGTCCACGAGGCACGACCGAACTGCCTATTCTCACTGCAGCATCCCAGGCTGCTGCTTTCCCACGACTTCCCGTCTGGTACAGGAGACTGGAGACAGAAAGGACTGTACCTGCCACTTTCCACATGCAGAATCACATGCTCTCTCATGCAGCCCTGGCAGCTTCCCAAGATGCATGCCCCTGGACTTATCAGAAGGACCAGGCAAAATATCATACACCCACATTTCACTTTATGCCCTGGACCAACAAGAGGAAGGCAGCTGGGACATCCTGAGAGGCAGGTGAGCTGACTGATCATCTTTCTGGCTCTACTGGGAACTATGTTTAGCTGCCTGAGAGAAGCAGCTAGCGAGAACACTCCCCCGTTTGCTTGCTGATTCAAACCATGCAAGTCTACTGGGCTGGAACAGTTACCAAAGGGAAATGGCAAAACAAGAGAGATGCCAAAGGAAGCCATTCTTGGGGTCTGTACAAGGCCAAGGGGCACTCCTAACATTTGGTCAACTGGCTTTAGATTCTAAGGTTATCCAAGGTTTGCTTAACCCATACTGAGTTCACATAAGCTTCCATGCTCAAAATGGTGGTCAGTGTGTACCGTAAGGCCCTGTAGGTTAATTAATTCATTGTGGCACATAGTGATGTATGAAGAGGCCCTGTGAGGTAAGTAACATTGTAAAGTCCATTCTGCAATTCCATGCAGTCTACAGCCATTCAAGATTGGCAGTTCATATGACTGGGCATGGAACCTCAAAGGGAAAGGAGCCACAGGCAGATTTTTCTAGAACAGCCTGCTTTAAGGAACTTTGCAAAGGTTCCTTGCAGGGGCAGCACGGTCATTCCCTTCCCAGTTCCACTGTGGGCTTTGTAACACGGTTTCTTCCACTGCAGAAGCACTAGCGTTGCGAGTGGAGAAGGCATGAAATAAGCTGTCATGAAGTAAGCCAAGTACCCACTGATATGTGCCTGGGGATACCAAATTATCACATGGAACTGGCAGCGTAATTTTGTGGGCTGGGAAAGTAACAGGCAGAAAAACAAGATTTTCCACCTCTGACTTCTCCCAACTATTTAGTGTACCAAAGTTTAATTACCAGAACAGGGGTGAAAACCCTGCACTGAACTCAACACTTTGGGGAGCGACAACTGTGTGCTTCTAAAGACACCCCAAAACGCACCTTCTCCCCCATGACGCCAGAGCGCACTCGCCGGAGCTCCTGCATCTGACCTCCGACCCCAAGCAGCAAGCCCAAGTGCACACACAGTGTTCGGATGTAGGTCCCAGCTTCACAGCTTACCCAGAAGATACCTGAGGACAGGGCAGAGCGAAAGCAAATGCCTACGTTAGAGAGACTCGTGCTCTTGTAAGAGGCTGAGCAGAGCAGGCCTCTGCGAGAGCCATCAGTATTGGGTGATAGATGTAAGTCATCTTTGCACGGAGTGCTATGCCATCTGTCTTACATCATTTGGCTCGGAAAACACAAGGTGCATAACCTGGTCAAGGGACAGATCTGACAGGCAAGAATGGGACTTGGCCTGGATGCCATTTTCGTTTTAGGAGCGCCACCATGCTATTTGCTCTGAGTAAAAAATATTTCATTACCCAATCTCCTTTCTGGATCATATTCTACCAGTTTGCTCTCGTAGATGGTCCGGACTCTCAGCTGTCTTTTCACTGCTGCTATAAGTGGGGGACGCTGGAAGAGGGCTCCTGTCAGAGTTTCTATTGCCTACAAAGAGAAGCAAATCAGAAGATGCCACCATGCAAAAAATATCAGTCTCGCATCACAGCAGGCAAACCTCTCTGCATATCCAGAGGTAGAAAAGGCACTTGTTTTAGTAGTTATTCACCTCATTTACGGTTAAACCATGGTTTTAATTAACATCTGATGGAAGCACGTTATATCCGTTATATGATTTTACGGGCATCTGAGCCAATTACGCACGCAGGATTGCAGCAAGTGACAAGTATCCCGCCCTGCAGAGACTTACCCTTGAAAGCTGAATCTCACTCTCAATTGCATTGTGCAGCCGAACGATTCCCACATACTCTTTGCCTGGAAGACGACAGAAGAGTAGTAAGGAGCGGCCACCTGAATGTTAATATTCCACCACCACGCAGGTGATTCTGCAATTTCAGTGCCTCACGATGCACCATCATTCTCAATCGGGAGACACAACAGACACCGTACCTGCACTTTGCTGAGACTTGACCAGACGCGTCGCACGCTCAATGCACACAATCAAGCACCCGGTCACTTTGGGGTCCAGTGTGCCACTATGCCCAGTTTTCTCAACCCGGAGGATGCGGCGGATCCAGGCCACCACCTCATGAGAAGAAGGATTGGAAGGCTTATCCAAGTTGATGAAGCCAGTCCTGAGAGAGAGGCACAGTGACTGCTACCAATCCTTTTTTGGTTTCAGTAAAAGCAGAATCTCTCTTAAAAGTTACAGTTTCAAGATTGGCAATCCATAAGCAGGCAGAGAATTGAAGCAGGACAGAGTTCATTTTAACATCAAAATGTGAAATTCAGTGCTAGGTGTACAAGCACTTCATGCAATATTCCTGATGGCCGAGTCAACTCCTTTTGCACCTAACCTCTCCTAGTGCAGTTTAGCGCCAAACATCTTTTGAATGACTATCGAATAAAAGGCATAGCTACACAAAAGCCTGCATGGATTTAAGAAGGAAACCGAAGTAACTGCAGCAGGGTAAATGGTGTAGGTTTTTTCCCCCAGTATTGGCAACCCAAAGGTTTTCAGAATATACTACTGAACTAGTGCGCAGCGTCTTTGAACTAGTTCACAGGTAATGAATAAACAATCCAAGACATGGATTCCAGGGGCCTTGCTGGCTATTCCAACATCTCCCTCTGGACAAGTTCACATGACAAGCTGTGATGCCCACCTGCCCCAGCTTGAACATTCAAAATAACACTGTAGCTTCTCATTATGTGTGAACCAGGCCTTGTAGTCAGTGCACTAAAAACCCAGGTGGGTCAGCGGTAAGCGCTACTCCAAATGAAGCACACGCAAACACCTCCCATGCAAGGACTAACTGCAGCTAACAAGTTCCATAACAAAGTTGTAGAAGAAAATTCACTATTAACTTGGAATATGACCTTACCTTACATAATCAGCAATATCTCTTTTTAAGGGATTACAACCAGAAGGGAGGGGTGTGTAATGTGCCGTCCTTACATTCAGCTTGTCAAAATTCTACAGAATCCAAAGCACAACAAAAAGCCGTTATATATCATTCAGAGGTGCTCTACAGGCCTTTGGTTGGATTCAGAAGTAAAGGAGGATATTTTGGAATCTCTTCCTTTGAAGACAGACTAGGTAAATGACTCAGTTCTAAAAGCTTCATTTATTTCTATTTCAAATGTCAGCTTTTCTTTGTTTCATTTTTATTTCACACAAGTTTGACCTATAAATAATTTTTTTCAATCAATTGTGCCTTTTATCAATGTTTTGGCAGCTTTTGATTCTAACAGAATTCATTGTGGGAAATTGTAAAACTCTACAGACTAGATTTCTGACACTGATAAAGGAATTATGTGCTAACACAAAAATGAGACTTAAGGTTGGGTTGAATGGCTCTTTAACTGAAGCTTTCAAAAGAAATCAGGGAGTAGAACAAGGATGCCTCTTAGCTTCCTTTCTCTTCAGCATCTGTTAACAATCTGCTGCTCCATTTAGCACAAGTATATTTCCCTTCCTTCATAAAAAGTTATTTTTTATTTTGATGCATGCAGATAGTGTAGTACTAATTTCTCTCTTGCTTGGGTCTGAAAAATCTTCTAGCCATTTTCAATATTTTCTGTAAGCGCAAGGACCAGTCAATAAACTATTCTTCAACTAAGAGTATCAGTTTTGCCAGTCAAAGACAGACAGCTTCTGGACTTGCTTATTTAGGTAACTGGGTATCTCTCATGGAAGTAGTGCAGGAAGGCAGTGAAATTAAAGACACAAAACCCCATACAGACATTCATGAAGTTTTATTATAATAAAGGTGGACAGCTGACAAAATCCTCCATAAGAGTTTATAATACCAAGTGATAATGCAAATTCTTTATGGGGCTGAAATGTGGGGGACCAACAGCCCCACCATGTTTTGAAAATCGTGTGGAACAACGTTTTTAAAATTGTAAATATTCTAAAGTGTATGTGAAACAGCCAACATTCAAATTTTTAAAAAATCACTCGCCCTGCCATTTTTACCTTCAGGAGCAAAGGCCACTGTGATGTATCTAGTTGAGCAACTCTGGACTCAGGCTTGATAAGAAATTCTTCTGAATATTGTATATCCTAGGAACAAATGAATGGGTAGTTTAACGACTGGAACCGTGAAATCAAGAATCCTGCTTCTCTTGCAGCCAAAGAAACAAACAGAACCTGCTTTGCAAAGCTGAGAGCACAAGCGCCACCTGATGGTAGACAAAGTACTCATTAGTGCCTCCTAGTGAGCAAGGGGCAAATCTGAGACAGTTCCTTGCACTGCAGCAGCCCACATAGGGGCACATGTGGTTTGTTCCCCCCATCTCGTAGCCCATCGAGAAATTTCTAACTGCAGTATGCTCTAGTCTAGAGATGACAAGAACATTATTACAGCTTCAAGCTGCTGAGTGTTCTCCCACTGCACTCAAATGCATTTATTTTTAAAAGGGAGTGAATGGAATCTGTGCAAGCAAGAAAAGAATACTGTCACCATTACTTCTTCTCTTGAATGCATACCGACAACCAATTCCACTGCAGTTGTTAGCCGAAGTTGTAACTACTGTGCACCGAAAAGGGTCTGCATGCCATTAGAGAAAAAAGGAATAGGACTAACCAATATACCACTTAAGCTCATCTTTACATTGTGTGTCTGAGGGAGTAGCACTTCCATAAGAAATAGACAACTAAACAGTATTTCTATTTTGCAACATCCAGAGGTGGGAACAGGCCTAAAAGTTTTTGCTCTAAACTGATACACAGAACAAGCAAGTTAGATCACCAGGAAACTCACAGCAACATCTTCATCTGGCAAAGACTTCCTTTCTTTTTTCTTCTTGTGTTTCTTAGAAACAGAGCCTATGAAAAAACAAATAGCAAAAAACAGGATTCCTACAAATGATCTTGTAAGCAGAAATAACCTTAGCAGCAAGGTTTGCCCAAAGCTAACCGAGAATTAGTAGTATGATCAACATTTAGAGTTTACAATGAAGCTTTTACACAGGAACCTTTATTATTGGGACAGGGGCAGCTGAGGAGCATAATGCAGCACAAAATACGACTGATAGTCACAGGCCATTCCATCTCAGATGTAACTAGGAATGTTTATGTTCAAGGGGGGACGGGAAAAAATAGGAATCAGGCTGATTGGCTGTTCCATTTTTCTTCATGTATTTCTTGGGAAAACCATCCCACTGCAGAAACTGTCCCTTAACAATACAACAGTGCAGAATGATGGGCAGTTTATTGAGCACATGTTGCTGCTATGACTGCTCTTCTACTCTACTCCTTTTTGGGGAGTTACATGCTGTGTTCCATTACTTCAGTTGCTTTCCCTGACCTGAATATTCCAATATTGTGAGTTATCAGGAAGGAAAAAGTCACAAGGCAATGCTACTGCCAACATTACTCAACACTTTCAAAACTAACACACAATTACATGGCACCCCACACGATCAAGGCGCACTCCAGCCCACGTGGGAAACTGAGAGCACATGGAGGGTGAAAAAGCCTTCAACGCAGACAGTACAAAAGTTACTGGACTCAATCCCTGCAACCAACAGCTCAGGCCAACTCTATATATATATGCACAAAGATATGATGCAGCTGGACACTGACGGTTTCAGCAGCCACTTCCCTGTCTCAAAAACCACAAAATGCGCACCTAACGTTAATGGCCGCCGTTCCAATTTCCCACCTGTTGCTACTCCTAGTTTACACGAGGAAAGGCAAAGAGAAAATTTTCAAAATGTTAATACCAGGATGGTCCAGAGATGGGACATTATAGAATGGGACAAGCCCCCTCCCAGCCCCTAAGACAGAGCACTCTCCAACAACCCCTCCCCCAGCCTCCCTTCCAACGGCTCCTTGAAGTTTTTGCAACATCCCACACTGCAGTTGCACAGTTAATGGATCAGAAAGACGGCACTCTACCAACCTTTTCCTTAGGCAGCCCCTGCAACTAAGGTACGACTACCTGAGCATGCACAGAGCACAATTTCAACACGCTGGCGAGGAACCACGTGCTCCCCTTCATTTCGTTTTGTGATGAATTTCTGCTCCGGGGCAATAAGAAGCTCCTGTCCTTCCTCTTCCTCCCTATCTCAGGAAGGTGTGAGCCCCAGCACTTTTCTCCCCCCTCGGGTATGAACAGCTACCCTCCCCGGAGGATCTGAGAAGGAGCGAGATTTCATCATCCTTGGTCCGAGGGGGCTTTCCTTCCGCCTCTGGAAACCCCAGGGATAGAGCCGCATCGCCTGCTTGCCTCGGGCCCCGGGAAAGCGGCCCTGACTCGGAGCCCACGCTGCGCACCCACCTGGCCCGTCCGCCATCTTGCCCACGCCACGCGCTGCTGCAAGAACTCGCGCGCCCTCCCGCTTGCCCGCTCCGGCCGGAAAGACCGTCTCCGCCCACTTCCGCTCTCCGCGCCACTAAACTTCCGCTGTAAGAATCATAGAGGTACGAAAGGGTAGACTGGCACATTCGCAGCGGAGGTGGGAAGCTCGCAGGATAGCGATGGCCTCGGTCGGTGCAGAAACATCTGAACTGGCCCCTATGCTAGATTGGCCTCATTTCTCGCAGCCTGTCGTGTGCTTCCTGGAGCGACGGTAGTCCACACTCCAGAAAATTCGACCTTAGCACCCGCAGTGCGACCGGGTCACAGAATCCCTAAAGGGTACGATCCTATGCCCGTGTAAATGCAAGACCTTCGACTCTCAACATTCCCCAGCAAGTTGTGCCCTAAACCACTATTTAAACATCCCAAGGGTTCATCTATATCCCATAAGTGCCCATTAAACAGGTGGTGATGGCGGGTGACTCAAGCCGGTTGTTTTGCTCTATCTAGACCTAAATCAGATGTTGTTATAACTGTACAACCCAAATCGGAATTTAAGTGTGCAAGCTTTCAGCTTCTCGTGCTGACTTTGTAATATTTTAATATAGCATTCTTTTAATAACAGCACTGGTGTACTTTTTATATTTATTATTTTGTTGTTCCTTGGTTTAATTATTGTAAACTGTCCTAAGGGCATTTTCCAGTTGGGCAGTAAGCAAATGTAATACATACATCAGGGTTTGACTCAATGGCCTTTAAAGACACTTCCAACTCTACTATTCTATTCAGGTTTATTTTCATGGAAAATTTCTGAAATTCCCATTATCTGCCATCTCAAGTTCTTTAAAACAAAAGACTCACAAATGAAGTACAAACAAGAATCAGAATTAAACATTGGAGAAACATTGCAACAGATACAATAATCTCTTATGTGACTGGGGATGAAAGAAGAGTCCTGTAAAGCCCTCAGAAGTGAAAACCAGTGCAACAGTAAAAGTTCTTTAGGCGTGCCATGTAATTCTCTCAAGTCCTTAATGATGTCCACAGAATGCAAGGATTTAACAGACCTGGAATACCAGAAAATAAGTCCCTAGGGTGTAAGCAGAACTTCCTTTGTAGCACTGTTGAGCATTCAGAGAAAAAATGTGGGAATCATTAAGAAAATAGCAAGCTGGTGATTATAAAAGTTGAGAAGAGAGGAATACCACCTCCTTCTGTAAACCAGAGCAGTTCTCCTTCAGCGCACTTATGTACAAGTATCTCTGTCAAAACAAGCCCTATTCAAGATGCTCAGGGGCATGGATGTAGTCTTTGGGAAGGTAGGCCTCGCCTGGGAAGGAGTTTTAGATTACACCCCCTGGCCAGAGGGGCTAATCATCTCTTGCACGACTAAATGAAGGATGTGGTTTTGCTCAGGAGTCAGCAGTGGCCAGAGCTCCTTCTGTAGCACCTTGAGCGCCTCCAAGTCTTTCTCCTGGCAAGCCATGACAGCGGACTGGAGAAGCAGGAAGAGCTCAGAGGGGACGTAGCCTGGCGAGGCATCGAGGGCCTCCCAGGAGTACTTCTCGAGGGTCTGGGCATGTTCAGGCAGAAGCTTTGAGGGCGGTGGCTGGAGCAGGAGTAAGAGAAGCACGCGGGTCACCTCACAGTGCAGCAGCTCATCGAGGAAGGCGCCCGGCAGCTGACTGATAACTGTAGATGAGGCGGTGGCGGCGGCAGCAGCAGCCCCGGAAGATGCTCCAGCTCCGCTGGCGGCGGTTCCAGGGCCACCTTGGGCCAGGAGCTGGGCTTGTGTGAGCACGGTCAGGGCGCCGTCGTGGTCGCGGCAGAGCAGCAGGCAGGAGGCCACATCGCGCAGGCAGCGCAGCGCTTCCAGGGGCAAGTGGCCGGTGGCCAGGAGGTCCGCGGCGCGCATAAGCGCCGGCACGGCCTCGCCCGGCTCGCCGGCAGCGCGCAGCTCGTTGCCCAGCTCCAGCCACAGCCCGGCGGCGAGCGCCGGCTGGCCCAGGTCGAAGTGCAGGCGGGCGCCGAAGGCCACGCAGCTCTGCGCGGCGGGCAAGTGCTCGGACAGGCCCAGGCCGGGGCCCTGCCGCAGGCGGAGCTCCCGGTCGTGGCGCAGCCAGAGGCGCGCCGCCTCGCCCAGCGCCGCCGCCTCCCCCGAAGCGTGCCCGAGGCTCTGGGCGCAGCGCGCCACCGCCAGCTGGCACCAGGCCGCGTACGGGAGGCTCTCCTGCGCGCGCAGCTCCCGCGCCAGCGCCCCGAACTGCTCGGCCGCCTCCGACACGTTCGGCTTGCGCAGGAACCGCCGCCGGAGCTTGGCCGACACCAGGCGGTAGCGGGTGAGGAAGTCGCCTCCGGAGCCCGCGCCCGACCCGCCCTCGCCGGGGCCGAAGCCCGGCGACGGGCCGCCGCCGACGCCCGGCACGGACAGCATCCTCCTCCTCCTCCTCCTCCTCCGACGGGGCCGCGGCGGAAGTGACGACAGAGCGTGCCCGGAAGTGGAGCCGTGTGCGGGCGGGCGCGCGCGCTCGTGGGCGAGGTGAGCGCGTGCCCGGCGCCGGCGCGTCGCCGCCTTCCGCTGCGCTCCGTGTCCGAGCCACTTTGGGGCTGCATTTCAGAACCCTGGAGAGGTCATGCAGAGTTTAAACGACACCCGCAAAGAAAGAGAAGCTCCCCTGACCCAAGAGGCACGGCTCCCCGGCAGAAGCGACCCTAGGGAGAGAACAGCTGCTGCCCGACAGATGTGCAGGATCGCACATCCAGTGCTCTGCATTGCCTTCGTTAAATTTCCCAAGCTGCACTACAGGCTACCTCCGCTCTCACCAAATAGGTCACCCTTCCCCACGCAGGAGAGTCAGACTTCAGACCCCAAGTCTTGGGACACGTCTACTTAATTATCTTATTTATTTAAAACGTTTGTATGCTGGCTCACAACAGCTGGAGCGAGCCCAGGTGGACCCCAAAAGGAGTCAAAAGGAGCCTGAGACAAGACTTAGAGCAAAAAGCAGCTTTATTCTAGTGCACTTGAGAATAAATGGAGACAGAGGGGCATGGGCTTCCCAAATCAGAGTCTCAAATGAAGTACTGAAAACATACATTATATACCCTACATAAACACAGTGTCTGAAATTGTGGCACCAAAGTACCTTTGGCTGGGTTTGCAGATGTAAAGCCACGGTAGCATGGCTAAACCTGGTGCACATACACACCCTCACAAGGTGGCTGTTTTGTAGCCACAAAACTACCCCAATGAGCCATGGCTTACTGTAGGGTTTCATAGACAACTCTGGGCTTGCTGTACATTGCTCTGACCGTGAGGAAGCTTTTCCTGATACCTAGCCTGAATGTGGGTTGTCACAGTGTGAATTGATTATTCTGTGTCCTATACTCTGGTATCAGCAAGAAGAGATCTTGACCTTCCTCTTTGAGGTACTTATAGAGTGATAGTGTGTTCCCCGCTCAGTCTTCTCTTCCCAAGGCTGAACATGCCCAGTTCTCTCAGTCTCTCCTCATAGGGCAGTGCTTCCAAACCCTGGATCATTTTTGTTGCCCTCCTCTGGACCCTTTCTAATTTTCTGCATCTTTCTTCAGTCTTGGTGCCCAGAACTGGACACAGTATTCCAGGTGAGGTCTGACTAGTGAGGAGTATAGAGGAACTACTACTTCTCATGATTTGGAAGTAATACTTCTGTTCATGAATCCCAAAATAGCATTTGCTGTTTTGGTGGCTGCATCACATTGTTGGTTCATATTTAGTCTGTTACTCTGAGGTCATTTTCTTTTTCAGTTCTTCTGTGTCATGTTTTCCCCCTCTTGTATCAATGCATTCGATTTCTTTTCCCTAGTGGAGGACTTGACATGTGTGCTTATTGAGTCTCATTCTGTTGCTTTCAGCCCAGCGTTCAAGTTTATCAGGATCACCCTGGATCTTCATTCTGTCTTCTAGGGTGATCACTATTCCACCCAGTTTCCGCTACATCCTTGTATATTTTTTACCGCCCTTATTTTAATTATTCTACTTTTTGTTATTAAACATGAGTAAGCACAGCCTCAGAAATAGTGCTAAGTGGAAAGGCAGCGTGTTTTAATTGGTTTTTAATGGGAGTGCTGAAATGTCTTTTCATTTTCACTGCTACTGTGTGCAAAATACACATTATGCTAATTGGTGAAAGGGCATTTCAGAATTCACCCACACACACACACTCTGATGAAATGACACTGCCAGGAAAGGGACAGCAAAGGCACGCCAAAACTGATGTGTGCTGGCAGGTGAGGTCTACCCCATTTCCTGACTGTCTCCTGGAACTCAAGAACTTGTGGCAAGTTTGTCATTGTTGTGTTGATCTGTCTAGTTCTGAAATACCACTAGTGGTTCAAAGACAGCAGGATGCAAGAGACAGGCAGGATGTCACTGAGGGGAGAGAGTGTGATCGAAAGCATAATCTGTGTGCAGTGTCAAAGGGGTGAATATTAGCTGTCAGCGGGCCTTGTCTGCAGTTGGAAATAGAACTATAGCGAGACTGCAATGTGCATTGATTGATTGATTAAACACTTGTTTATACCATCCTATCACAAAAGTCTCAGGATGGTAGTACAATAGAAGCACAGCATCATCAATCCTCAGATAAAAGCCAATTAAAACAACAATTAAGACTTAAAATGTTGGGAAAATAAAAAGGGGTTGGCCTGGAACCAAAAGGAATAAAGTGTCGGCTCCAGGGACGCCTCTCTGGAGAGCATGTTCCATAGCCAGGGCACCAACACTTTATTTGTGTTATAAAAGGTGGGGTACGTAATCGCTTACCTGCTTTGAGGGCAGAACTGTACAGTGTCCTGATTTTTTTGGTATCCTAAAATCAACTACAATAAATGTTTCAATATTAAGTTTCTAGCAACCTCTTATCATAGAACTCTTAAAGTGCTAAAATGCATCCTTTACTAGGAGCAACCAAAAGGCCTCATAAAAATATTGGCCAACTGTGGATTTTGGTTTTTTTATGGACAAGCATGGCCCCGTCTAACCTTTCCTGGCATTGGAAATACAATACAAAATAATGGAAACATGTGCTGCTTTTTCATAACATCCTAAATCAGCTGTTTCAGTCAGCTGCCTTGGGCTGTAAGGTCTCAGACAGCGAGGTTCAAGGGGATGGGCAGCAGGGGTTGAGGCATCCATGGACAAAAGGCCAACTGGTCCAGCGGGATCAGATGTAGCAGAGATAATCGGTGCTCTTGTACTTTTCTTTCAGCAAGTGCAATTTTTCCAGATTCATGAAAAAGAACATATTTCAAAATAACTCTCTATACAGCGAACTACTGTCTATGAAAAGCTTTTTATTCCACAGTCCGTTTGTGAGCTGTTAAGGTGCCACAAGACTTTGTGGCTTTTGCATGCAAAGGAGCAAGCGGTTCCTATTCTCCCACATCTATTCAGTTTTCTCTAGTCTAGACAAACCCCTAATGCCATAGGGGACCAGGAACCCACCAGAATCTGGCCACAAGGATCATGCAAAATAGAGGTGAACTCTAGGAAAGTGACTGCAGGCTTGGAAGCTCCAAACACATTCAGGAAAGCCAGCATAAGGCATAATATTACCATATATTATCCTGCCACAGATAGAATTGCTGCTCATCCAAACCCTTTCCCTAGCAAACCACTTCTCTCCCACCCCTCCAGGGAAGATATTGGGCCAGCTTGGAGGAAGCACCAGATAACAAAGGCCTTTCACAGTCCATTTGGACAGCCGGTGCACCTGCTTTTTCTCTTTCAAGGCCTCACTGCCCAGGGCACAAGGGCAATTGCCCAGTAGAAAATGGTGAAGCCAATCTCCGACAGGTAAGGCACTCTCTGAGAAATCCAGGGGATGGTGTTGCTGGCAGACAACACTGGATTCTGGGCTTAGTGAACATAATGAGCAGACTATGGAAGACAGGGGTCTCCTTTAGTTTAAAAGGGCTGGTACCGTCAATCTACATTCCCTGTTAATATGCTAAGAGAGAGAATCCTGAGGTTTTCTAGCAGCTGCACACCTACTGTGTTCAGAAGGAAGAAGCAAGCTGGGATTAGGGCAGAGAATGGCCGCTGAAGCAGCTTGGATCACAGGCTGAACTAGGCATCTTATAAGACCACCTGTGGTGACCCCCAGGCATATTCAGTTCTCACTGGCTGTTTTAGGGTGCCCTCCACTTAGGGTGTCTTGGTAAATATTTTGTAGTTCTGCAAACCTTGCATTTTCTGCTAGGCTGCTTATATCTTCCTAGACCGTTGTCTTCCTTTTGCGCATGGGTTATGCCATTTTTGGCTGCATGAGCAATGACATTTGCATCTCAGCATAGGAAATCAGGGGTGAGGTGGTCTTTATTTGGAACTAGTAGCAGTTCTGAGGTTCAACCCTCTTGAACCTCTGGCCTGCAACTTCCTCAAATCTAAAAGGGAAATGTTTTAAATAGGTTCAGTCACACATTTGAATAAATAGTATTCTCTGAAAATTTAAAAGCATGTATATTTTCCAAAAATTATAAAACGCTCTGTAGGTGAAATAAGGGGCATGTTCTGAAAAAAAGCAAGGGGACTGGCAAAACCAAAGTCATGCATTCTGTTGGCCTGTTCAGTTTGTAGCGAATCGGGACTGTAGTGGTTTCCTGCCTTATTCCCACCCCCACAGTTGAACCCCTCTCACCCAAGTCTGAGCATCCAACACCACCCCCTCCAGCTGCTTCTGCTTCTCAGTAAGGGGAAAGAAAGCTCTTTCATTTCTGGTTCTTTCCACAGCACTTCTTTAAGTGGGCTGCTCTTCATGAGAGATTCTGCATATGAAAGCAAACCACTAAACCATGATATCCCTTTGCTGACAGAACAACATCTTGACATTAAAGGTAAGTAGAGCAGTGCGCTTCAGGACATTCCGACACAGGGTTTTAAAGGCGTGGGAAAGCCAAGCAGAAAGCACAATAAGTTGGATGTCCAAGAGAAGCTGAGGTAGGTGAAGAAGCTATGCAGCATCTGTTTGATGGGAAACGGAGGACTTTCTTGGGTGAAGTCCAAGGTAGAAGGACTCAACCAGTTCTCGTCTAGTCTTGTCTCCTCTCAGTAGTACTTTCCAGAAGAGCTGAAGAACAAATCTCACTGGTTTCGGCTGGCAGGGCCACTGGACGTGCTGTCTGGGGATGAGGGGAGTTCCAATCCAACACATCTGGGGAATCTGGGCTTACTAATTCAGCTCTGTTTAAACCCAGATCTCACTTTAGATTTGAGAAACTTAAGAAGAAATAATCTTACTGTATAAACAATAATATACAGAAGGCAACTATAACATATGGAAACAGAATATTTTATGTAAGCCGTCCTGAGGCTATGTGATGGGACAGCATACAAATACTCTAAATAAATACATAAATTCAAAGGAAAGGGTAATTTTTCCTTATCTAAAGTGATGTGGCAATTTAACGGGGGGGGGGTAGTCTTTCTGTACCCCTCTGCCTCCTACCCCTACATTTCAGCTGGGTATCGACCCCCACGTCTATCTTAGTTAGACATGCTAATTGAATAGAACGGCATGATCCTATATACACTTATTTACATGGAGTAAGTCCCAGTGAACTCTATGGGGCTTACATCTGAGTAAACACTTATAGGACTGTATCAAGGAATATGTGAACAATTGAAGAAAATTTTAATTAAAGAGTCAAAGCCAAGAACAGAAGCACTGATTCATTTTGCAATGCTACTTTGGTGTTAGTATGTTACTACTGAAGAACAAACAAGAAAGTTATTCATCTTTCTTCCAAAAAGATTGGCTCTTTTTAAGAATTAAATTGTAAATCATGAACTTCCCTTGCATTCTCAGAAAGACATAATGAAATTTTGATAATATGCGGACTTCATGAAAACAAACTGAAGGCCGCTGACTCATCAGCTGTGTTATTCAAATGAGTTGATATCTCTTAGTCTTCCTTCTAGAGTGGTTTTGGGTACTGCAATTCTTGATGCGCATGTTCTGCCCATAAAACCATTTTACAGAACTGGATTGCCACATTATCAAATGCCGTGGCAGCAGTAGCTTCTACAGGATAGACCGGCTCATGTAAACCAGGAGGAATGCGAAGATAAGCGATCCAGAAATGTTATTTCTAGCTTGTGTACTACTGATGAACACCCAAGTCCTCTGTGGAATTGGCTTATAAGCTACATCTTGCTTTTCTCGCAGAGCTATGAATACTTCCCTGCATACTACTGAATTCCCTACGACTGGAGCCAGAGGATTAATCTGTGAAATCCAGAATGGCTTCCTGGAGGAGGCCCTGCCTCCAATGTACTCCATCATCTCCATCATTGGTTTCTTCAGCAATGCCCTGGCCCTCTGGGTGTTCCATTTTGGTACCCAGAGGTTGAACTCCATCACTGTGTACATGAAGAGCCTTGCCATCTCAGACCTCCTGCTGGCATTTTGCCTGCTCTTCCGGGCAGCTTATCAAAACCAGAGCGGCCCCCAGATCATCTGCAAATTGGTGGGCATCATATTCTACCTCACCATGTATGTCAGCATCTTCCTGCTCAGCCTGATCTGCCTGGATCGCTACCTGAAGATCATCAGGCCCCTGCAGCAGTTCCGGATCCACACTGTTCCCAACAGCACGGCGGCCGTCTGGGCAGTATGGCTGATCTGTGCTGGCAGCATGCTGCTCTTCTTCGCAGAGGACGACACGAAAAAGCCCTGCAGCCACAGATGCTTCCACTTCAAGAAGAGGAATGCCCTGGGTGCAGGGCTCAACATGGCTGCGGTGGCTACTTTCTTCTTTCTGTTGGGGTTTTTCCTCTACTCCTACAGCAAAATTGCCTTCAAGCTCCGCATGGTCTCCTTGAAGAAAACTCATCAGGGGAGTAAGACAACCAACAGCAAAGCTATCATGAAGACCTTTGTGGTCCTGGCCACCTTCCTCATATGCTTTGCTCCATACCATGTGGTTCGGGTGCCCTACATTCTGGCCCAGGTGGAGGTAATCTCTTCTCCATGTGTTAAACAAGCCCTCCACGTGGCTAATGAACTTGTCCTTTGCATCTCTGCCCTCAACTGCTGCTTTGACCCCGTTATTTTCTACTTCTTGTCCAGCAGTTTTAAAAGAGCCCTTCTGGCAGCCATCCATGGAAAGTTGAGAAAAGCACTCCAGAAAAACCAGGGAGACTTTAGCCACAGGAAATCCATCACAGAATCTAGGATGCAGGGCAGCTGAGACTTGGAATGGACTTCTGGGCATTAGACGGAATCTGGGAAGATGCTTGCCTAGGTTCTTGTCTTTAGGAAGACGTGATCACAGAAGCCATGCTTGGTGACTATAATCATGGTCAAGCTTTTATTCATTTGGAAAACACTGGACCACATCCAGACCATGAACTTGTAGTGCTCTTGCACGGTAAGATACATGCAGAATTGCAACTGCTGAATTGCCACAATCCAGCATCTTTCTACGCGTTCTCTGATTCTGTGGCTTCTAACCATCTTGCCGCCTCTGAGGCTCCCTCCTGCTCCTGATTATTCTATCATTTCTTAGGTTTTTTTAAAATCATCTTGTTCAACTGGGAGGCTGGAATGCCTCAAAGTCAAGTGCTGCTGTCCAATAACCTCAGTATTTGAGTTTAAAATAATGGTTTTGTATTTTGGAGCTCAAGCTTAATCTCACCTAGGTTCTTGGATAAATTGCTTTTCTTTCAGTGTTCCCAGTTTGCCTAATAAGAGTTTTGAGGCATGCTAGCAAAGGAAACCCTGCTCTTTGCAGGCTTTGTACCCGCCATTTTGTACCCTCAGCACACTTTCAAAATTGCAGATATGCGTACCGAGAGAAAAAGGTTAGGAAGTTCACTGGCACAACATGGCCATGCGGGTGAGAAAGTTATAACACAACAGAGCCTGCCATTTTAGCAGTGCGTTTTTCTTTTCTTTTTTTATGAAAACTGCACTAAAATATTTTTGTATTTGCTTTTGTGGAAAATTTTACATTTTAAAAGTTCACTTTAAAAAAATAAGCAACAGGATCTTTTTCAGAATTTTAAGTTCATGCTTACTTTTCTAGATTGTTGTTCAAGTTGTATGAAATGTTATTGAAATGCCTGCACATGTATTTTAAATAGTAATATAAGATGACTATTTTAAGAGGAAAGCTACATTGTACCAGGGTTATTCAGAATTGTATTTGTTTCCTATAATTCTGGTTTATGTGTTGCTTTTATATAGATATGTCACAGTCTTCACTATACTCTTGCTTTATGATCATCTTATGACTAGATGCAAATAAAAATATTTGACTCTGGAATGCAGATTGAACAAAATTTGCTGAGGATGATTTCTTTTGATCTGTCTTTATTGCAGAAAATGTACAACAGACCTCTGTGCCTGAACAATTGTTTTCAGAAAGCATCTGAGTAACTGAAGCAAATTGTGATGGCAAACAGGAGGTTCTGAACCCAGATTGACAAATGGAAAGTTAATGAATAGCCATGCCCAAATTGTATCCTTCCTAGATGTCTTAAAAGTACTCAAATGAGAAACTGAAAATCTTCTGGCAAAGATGTATTGCCTATTCTTCAGATTAGCCTCTGTACCAGAGGACTTAAGAATGGCTAGTGCAGCACCATTTTTAAGGGATTCATGGGCTACCTGGAAGATTACAGACTGGTTATCTTAATGTTTATTCTGGATAAACTGTTAAAAGGAATTATGAAGCGCTCCAAGATAATCTCTCCCAAGTAGGAGAATGGGCATGAAAATGGAAATGCGGGTCGGTGCAAGCAAATGTAAATTCCAGAAGCAAGGATAAGCTGGTGGATCTGAGCTAGCAGTGGCTAACCAAGAAGAAGATTTTGGGATTGTGGTTAGGGTTAGCTCAATGAAAATGTCAACACAGTATGCAGCTGCTGTGAAAGAGGCGAACTCTGTGTTGGGCATACTGAGAAGACCCAAAAATAAAACGGCTAAGATCAGACTCCCCTTATACAAATATTTCATGTGACTGCATTTGAGATATTGTTTACAGTTCTGGTTGCCAGGCCTGAAAATCACATCCAGTTGCAAAACGTGTGGAGAAGGGCAACTAAAACGATCAGGGGTTGGAACAACTCCTCTGTGAGGGATAGTTGCAACAACTGGTCTTGTTTGGCTTAGAAAATAGGCACGTATGGGGAAACATGACAGGAATCCCACCTTAGGTCTCAAGATGTTCTTACGGTGTAAGGCTTTCATCAGTCCTATTATGCCAGAGCTTTTACTCATTTTCTCCTGACATAACTCTGCAAAGTTTTTCCAACTTCTTCCACAAAGAATCAAGCACACATATGTGCACAGACATATCGAGGAGGAGAAACTGGGCAAAGTCTTTTGGCTAACGGCTGCTCATTTGGAAGCACCCCAAAACGAGTGACGAGGGAGCTCTCTGTCACTTAGGCTTTCTGCGTGCAGTGGAATGAATGTGTCACCTTTGATCATCTCCTCTGCTCAATCAGCCTTCCCCAGTCTGCCCATTGGCCGTGCTGGGGATGTTGAGTGTCTGAATTTCATGATCACCATGCTGTGGAGGGCTGAGTGGGCAGCTTGTGACCTACAGCTGCCATCAACCCTCATCAGCAGTAAATCAGCTTGCTGTAATCTGTTCCGAGTAATGGGACAGTATATAAAAGCAATCAATCAGTCGATCAAAACTAAATAAATACATGTCACCAGTCACTTAAACATCACCAAATAAGGTCACCAATTTGCATAGTGGTTCAAATGTACATTGATACGTAAATACAAATTCAGAAATTAAGAATTCAGAAATTCTAAGTATGACTAAAGCAAAAATTTAGAAACATAGAAACACAGAAACAGAGCGAGTCAGAAGGGGCCTCCCAGGCCATCTAGTCTGACCCCCGGCACCAGCCGGCTCCTCTGAAGCAGGCTCAGAAATATATGGTACAGGGCTGAAACATACTGGGCTACTTTACAGAATAAAATTATTTATTTTTTAGCATCGTGGGAATTAACCTCTTTTTTAAACCACAAACATCTGGAGGGCTATAAATTGCTCAGCCTTGGTACAGTTGACTAGGAGGAGCATATTTCTCTGACAGTCTTGGTTATTCTGGTGATCTCCAGACGTTTTGGACTTCAACTCCCAGAAACTGTTACCAAATTGCCAGTGATCAGGAATGTCAGGAGTAGACATCCAAAACATTAGATCTACCTTCTGCTGACACTGCATTACATTCTGGAGAACATGTTACCCACCAGCAGCTTCAGACTACATAGTCCATCATCCCTGGCTATTCTGGGGAGGGGGATTGGAGTTGGAGCCCAGAAGGGCTGAGGGGAAGTATTCCCCTCACAGACACCCCATGACATTAGAATTTGGAATCACTCAGTGAAGCCAGTTGGTGGTAGGGGCAAGAAACAAGTAAATTGCCAGGGTTTGAACTCCATAACATACTTTGAAATTCAAACAAAGATCTTGCTGGAGGGCAGCATGTTGCTCGGAGGCATGCCGGCCTTCTACTTTAAAAAAAAAAATTAAAAATCAGGAGGGGCTGGGAACTAGAACAAAGGAGTGCTGCTAAATTCAGCAGCGGTCCAGATTCATTTTTGGAGATGCTCTCAGGGGCTGCATTCAACCAGCAGGTGGGAAACGTGGCAGGGTCCAAAAAACAAAAAATTCCAGCCTCTCTTAGCTTAGAGTGCTTCTTGACATTTACTAAGCATTACAATATCTAAGAATGAACAAGACCTTGGCCAGATCCAGCAAGTTGAGTGTTATGTTCCGTACATATCCTGTACACCGCTGGCAAAAACCTTGTGTTGAGAAAAGCCAGTTTCCACTCCCTGGAGGAATCTGTGCAAAGCATATTTGCAGTGTTGAAAGTGAAATGGGGCTTCTTCTTAGGTGGAAAATGCGCCAAATGCTATGCAAGGCAGAGATGTTTCCCTTATTCCTTGTTCCCTTGCATAGATGGAAACAGAATTGAGATCAGTGCTGACAAATGGGCTGCATGGAATGAGCGCCTTCCACCCATGACAAGTTTGCTAGAACAAAGGAAACGAAAGCTGAGCTTTGCATAAAACCACACACTTAGACATTGAGCCACAAGTCAGCTGCTCAGAAAAGATATACCACTGATATTTTTATTAGCAGCAAAGAAGGAAATGCAGAAAAAGTGCTTTACAAAACTGCCCCAGAATGCATCATAGTAAAACCAAGCAATTTCCAACCTTAGCAACAGATGCACAGATTTCCAGAGGTTTGGGGAAAGCTAAGATGCAATTTCTGATGCTGCTGTCAGCCCTTTCAAATAAAAACCACAAATGAATGAAATTTTTGGGCAGGGGGTGGCCATGAGGGAATCCCTGACAACCAGACTGGGATCCCAGACAGCCAACTGTGGGCCCCAGGGCTGAGGTTCTGTAACCCTGCTTTAGATTGTTTCTAGGTAGCCAGCTCATTCACACCCCAACTCAAGAGAAGAAAGCCACAGAACAACATAAACTACATCAAGGAAATAGACCACCTCTTCCTGACGGACAAATTGGAGTGCATGGTAACTTGGCAGCTTTGCATGTCCAATGCCAACAACACCCCCCAACCCACCCCTTCTGTGCACCTGAAAGAGATCAACCCAAACAGCCCTAGTCTTACTGGATCATATGGGGCTGGTAGCTGGGTGGTCTCTCCTTGCCCCCTGCTAAAATCCCCAGTTAGACCAGTGGGCCAAGGAAGGTTGCGAAGGCCCCATTTGGGAAAAGTTCTGCAGCAACAGGAAATGGACTGAGCCGAGATCTTGCCCAGCTCAGTAGGAACAAGCAGCTCAGAGAGTGAGGTCCAAGCCATGGAGAAAGGCAGACATCTTCAACTGCGCTCACAGATCCACCGCAATGCCTCTATACATTTCAGAATCCCTTGAGCATTTGACTTCAAAAGACATTGTGCTGTGACATGCCAGGACATGTGGACACGCTCACACAGAGCCATTCTTCAAACGAGCATGAACCAGAAATGCAGGCAAGCTGCCTGCATCCCTAGTTTTATTTCAAGGGCTTCGCTCTTAACCGTGGCTAATGAGGCAAGTCTGCAGCAAATTGAACATAAGGGAGGAAGGGCATTTACATCCAGTTCAGGCACAGAAAAGGAGACTCCCCCAGGCAGTGGCAGAGAGTGACTGCCTTTGCCCCCGACAAGCAGTCTCCTTCAACCTCCCTATTTTGCTCTGCCAACAGGATGACAGCCGCTTCTCCCTTGCATGCAGAGGTGCTCCAGGTGAATGGCTTACATTTGCTCATCAGCAGGTACCCCCAAATCATTGGCCCTTGAGGGTGCTACCTTTAGGACCTGCTGCCAAACAGTTCTTCCTGAAGGGCATGGGAAATGTTGTCTAAAACGATTTCTCCATTCACACACCCAAGGCCTTTGCTTTGATGACAGCAAACATGCTGTTTCCTTCTCCTGCCAAAGGGGATATTTATTTATCTCAATAAATACAGTTATTGAGAAAAGCAGTAAAGGCCGTATGTTAAACATAACTCATTTTGCTGAACGAACACAGATATGAAATTCAGGAAATACATAATTCAACGAGTTTCCCTCCTTCCAGCTTTCCAGTTCAATCATGCCTCAAATCCTGATTGGGATAGTCCTCTCGCCTTGTTTTGAAGCAAACAGGACTGATTCCTTGAATGAACACAATAAGAAAGGTCAAGATAAACAAACTGTAAGGAAAGCAAGCCAGCTGCTGTGCTTATTGCAAAAGCAGAATGGGCAGCAAGGGATTGCTTAGGCTGGTGGAATTAAGTCATCCTGTCAGCAGCTGTAAAATAAAGGAAACAGGAAAAGAGAGAAATTATGTGTAGGAATATATAATTTAATTTCGGTTTATTTTGATCAAGATCTGATTCATGCCACCTGTTGGTAGAAGTTTGCACATCTTTGGGCTTGCAATGTAATTTGTGGACCTCACCCACCAGAAAGGCATTTGAATGCATGCATTCATTTGTGAAATGTGCGTGAAATAAATCGGCACCTCTGAGAAGAGTGCACAAGCACTCTTAAATCAGTAGGAGAAGAATGTGTACATTTCATGGGTGCTCATGACCGATGAGTACATTTGGAAAAATATGCATGAAAATATGGATGGATGCTGGTGTGAAAAGTAAAAAAGCCACCTGATAAGCCAACTCGATTCAGAACGAGCTTTGAGATGGAATTTGAAGAATCCTGGCGAGCTCACGGTTTGCTGATTTGCACAGCCTTAGTGTTGCGCCTGCAACCTCAGCTTTTGCGAAACTGGGAGGAAGGTCCTTTAGCACCATCTTGCTTCTCCAGCTTTGCTGCTGCTCTTCCTCCCCTTACCCTCAGCTTCCTGCAGCAGCTTTCCCCGTCACTGGTGGGTTTTGACCCCCAGAAGGCAGTGAGAAAGAAGAGAGGTAGAGAACCCTAACCCCTGAAAACCTGGGCACTGGTGTATTTTTGGAAGTATCTGAAGGCTGGAGGGTTGGGTGGGGAAAGAGCCCTGTAGACTGGCTTTGCTGCAGTTTGACATTCTTTGAAGCCAGAAACCTTTCCCCGCTTTCCAAGAAAACCCATGTGCTATACCTGGGAAGCTTCAGAAAGCCAGCAAGCAGAATGCCTGCTAACCAAGCCCAGGTTTATTACTGCTTTAAAATCTCAAAAGGCACCGATCCGGCAGCTGGAGTGTAGCAGCAGGCACACTCAGGGCTCCTGGTTCCACCCTGCACAAGCTGAGCCAACTGGTTGTGCTTTTCAAGCCAAGGAGAGCCAAACAATCAGAGAGCACAAACGGGGAGGATGAAGAGAAGGCAAAGGGCTGCACTGGATGGCTAACAATCAAGTAATGCTGCGGGGACCTCGCCCACTCTCGGGGGCAGAGGTCAGGTCTCTGAGGTATAAAGGACACTCCTGTTTCTGGGTCAGCAGCCCCTAGCCCCCCGAAGGACAGGCCGCCTTAGGCCTGCAGTCCCAGGAAGCGGGCTGTGTTTAGGACATCATCCCTCGTCAAGTAGCAACCGCAGAGCTGGCGGTAACCCGTGAAGGACTCCCGGCCATGCAGCACTCGCCAGTTGTCCACGAAGAGGGCCTGCAAAGAGAGTGTGAGACAGACAGAGAGAAGGTCTCCACCTGCAGCTGCAAGGCGAGCTCCCTGGCCAAACTGGGGGCCGAGGCTGGGTTTCCTACCCTCACCACCACGCCACACCGGCGCTCATCTCTTTCACTGGGCCAGCCACTGCTCCGTGGCGTGATGTGCTGTGAGCATGGCCTGGAGAGGATGCCGTTTGGAGGATGAAATGGACAGGAGAGGGAACACGGAAGGGACAGAGGGCTGGACAGCAAGAATAGAAAGCTTCAGCTGGTTCACTAGCTGCATCCTTTCCTGGACAAGGCCGCTCGGCCACACCGGCACTCGTAATTGCAAGACTGGAGTACTGCAGGGTTCTCTGTGCAAGGCTGACCTTAGGGCTGGTGCAGAAGCTGGAGTAAGGGGAAAGGAAGGCTGTTTGTAAGCCTGCAACTCCATTGCTGCAGGGACTGCACGGTCTGCCTATTCCTCCCCAGGCCTGGTGCAGGGTTCTGGTACTAGTGTACAGAGCTCTAAGCAACTTCAGAGAGCGCTTCTTCCTGACCAACCTGCCTGTTCATGGAAGCCTCTGGAGGGCCCTGCATGGTCCTATATTCCTACCACCCCTCCCAGGAAAAGCCCCTGCCCAAGCCACTGTAGCTTTACCTTGCCCGGTTTTAGCTTGACCCAGAGCTCGTTCTCCGGCCTTCTCAGCTCGGTGGTGAGAGTGCGATGCGCCGTGTACCAGCGGTGCACAGTTTCGTAAGGCACTGTGTTAATGACAGCTCTGTCGTAGTTGTTGTACCTGGGGAAAAGGGAAGGGTCGTCGCATGTTGAGGTCGGACGGGAGGATGGAGGCCATCTGGTCCAGGGCTGGAGAGGCAGGATGTGGCTTCAGCCTTCCCAGCAGGTGGCAGGGCAGCCTCTGCTTCGAGATCCCGCCCCCTCCTGAGGTGGGCAGTTCCCTTGTCCAAAGTCTTGTCCCATTGGGAAAAACCACCTGACCTGTAGCCCAAATTTGCCTCCCTGCCGTTCCCACCTGCTGCTTGTAGCCCTGCCCTCGAGCGAGAGAGAGCAAGTGTGCGCCATCTTTTGCATGACAGCAAATACTGAATTAAAACGTTGAACATCAGATTGTATGTCTCACCAATAATCCAATATATGTGTAATTTTCCACCACAAAAGTCATCTCAAAACAACTAACTCATGAATACAGAAATCTATAACAGACCCCCATCAATATACATCATAACCAGCACAATAACAGAAATAAACACCATAAAATAATAAAAAGACTGCAATACAGGAAGTGCTTATCCACAAACTCTCCCCTTCCCCAGCCTCGAACAAACATTCAGAACCAGCTGCAATGAATGATTCAGCTGCAACTAAAGTCCAGACTGTGTGGCAGCTCACACTGGTATGGCTGGAGGGCAGATCCAGGCACATGTTGGCCTACCCCTTGTTTCAGGTGAGCCTCCAACAGACACTGGCCTCCTTACCTGATCAGGTAGAGCTCATTGTTCCAAGGGTAGACGTTCAGGACGGGCCCAACCCCGATCATGTGGTTGTGGCAGCCACCCACACTCTCAATGTATTCATGCTTCAGGGGCACCTTGGTGAGGAGCTCGAAGTCCTCTGGGGCTTGCTGGAGCACTTGCTGAGCTGCGTAGAAGCCATCCACCAGCAGCGTCCTCCCACCTGTCCCTTCGTGCCGGAGGCAGTGGAACACCTGGATGCTGCAGAGGACGAGCAAGGAGCCAGTCCGTTAATGGCCACGACAGAAACGAAGTCACAGGGCAGAAAAGGGGAGATACTGGGGAGCGGAAGAACAAGAGAGAGATGGACAAGCCATTCCTATCATGGCCAACAAGCTCTCTAACGCAACCTGCCCTAACCTGGTGGCCTCCAGGTATCCTGGGCTAAAGGCCCCATCATACCTCTGGTGTGCCCAGTTCTGGGATCCTCTTTATAGGAGAGACATAGCTGGGTTAGAGTGAGTCCAGTGCAGGGTCACAAGAATGGCAGCTGGGCTGGGAGAGATGACATATGAGGGAACTGGTCTTTTCAGCCTGGAGAACAGGAGACTCCCAGGGGATCTTTCAGTGACTCACATGTATGTGAGGGGATGTCATGACGGGGAGGGCCGTGACCTGTTCTTCCCTGCAGTGGAGGGCAGGATGTGTTCCAGTGGGGCAAAGCTCAAGGAAGCAGGCTTCAGGCTGGATGTCAGGAAGTACTTCCTGATGGCTAGGATCTCTCATGTATGGAATGGGCTTCCAAGGGAGGTGGTGGAGGCCCCATCAGTGAGGGCAATGAAGGAAAGATTGGGCAACCACATGTTGGGGATTACATGCCTGGGGCTGAGCTTTGCGGATCTCTCCATGTTGAATGTTTGTACATTCTCTATGTTCCTTCAGTCATTATTATACCACCTGGATTTGGGAAAATAATTGCTGCCTACATCGCAGAAGTAATCTGCCCTTTCTGAAGGCCGGCAAAATTAATCAAAGGCACAGCCGCTCATAAAGCTCATTTCTTCAGAGCGTTTGAGGCAAAAGGAGGCACTTTTGCCATTTTGTGGCTCAGAGGCAACGGACACATACCCACAGGGTTCCTGGAAGTACGTGGTGTCTGTATGACGGTCCAGTGCTAGTTTGGTGTAAGCTGTGTCTCCTCGTGAGAAGTCAGAGGTGAAGTGCCACATCCTGCCATAGATCGTTTCCCTGGAAGATCAGAGGCACGCACATGAGCAAAGGCCATTGAACTGACATGACAAGGTATGACCCACATGATGGGCCACATGAAGGAGCCGGTGCATGACCCCAAACCAGGCAAGCCAGAGAAGTCTCTTATTTTCATGCGTATTATCAGAATAATAAATCACACAGTTCCTATCCTGGAGCTGCTTACTGCTGAGTACAAAATCAAATGCAATGCATTGAACCACTTGAACTATCTGCACGTGACATTAAAATGTCCTAATAAATAGGAACTGCACAGCACAAAAGCCAGGGAGTAAGGTGTGGGGTGGCCCAGGAAGAATGAAAAAGGGATTGGCTGGCACCTGAAAGGCAACGGAGTTGGTTCAAGATAAACTCCCCGGGGGAGAACTCGCTGCTACCAAGTGCCACCACTGCAATGGCATTTGCCAGATGTGATGGCCGTAACTTGAGCCAGACCCTGCTCCATCGAGCCTCACACCCCAGCCTTCCCTTGGCCTGCAGCCCCAGAAGTTCTGGACTCCACTCCCCATCAGCCCCAGACAGATGGACCTTGCAGGAATAAAACTATTTATTAACTGTTAGAAGAAATTAGAACAGATCTAGGTGCTTTTGATGAGAAAACCTGGGGATGAAAGCACAGCAAGGAATTACTGGATCCAACAGGGCCGAGGATGGGATGTTCCCAGGCCAGGCAATGTACTTGGAAATGATTTGAATCATCTACAGAGTGTGGAGAGAGTTAAGAGGTGTAAGCAGCCGCTGGTGCAAATCCCTTCTCTCCTCATTTTCAAACATGTTCTGAAGTCAGCCCGGCAATGTCATTTTAATTGGAAAAGTATTTCCTTCCGCGGGAGTCCAAGGGTGACGTTTTGATCTTTCGGTCTTCCACGTCCAAGGCTGCTCTCATAACCTTGCCTGTCCAAACAGGAAATCTTGCTTGCTGTGAACACCAAAACATTCCCAGCCAGCTGGAACAGCCCATTTTTATTCTTAGCTCAGCTCTTACCACTCCTGGAAAGGACACTCGAGTTCCGTGGGGGAAACAGGGCTTTTCTCAAGTCTGCACTAAGCACAACGGCCTGGTTTGCTCACCCACAATTTTTTGGAATGACGGATTGCTGTGAACAAGGTGGCAAGAACAAGGTGGAATTAAGGATTCAAGGTCTCTAAAATGGATGAAAACAACTGAGTGAAATGTTGTTGTTACAGTTATATGCTGTCAAGTGATCTTTGACTTATGGCAACCCTATGAATGAATGCTCTCCAAAATGTCTAGACCTTGACAGCCCGTTGTTCTTTTGCAAACTCAAGGCTGAGGCTTTTTTATGGAATCAGTCCCCCTCATATTTGATGTTACACTTCTTCTGCTTCCAGCTTCCCTTAGCATTATTGTCTCGTCCAGTGAGTCCTGCCTTCTCATGACGTGCCTCAAGTATTTATTATTATTATTTAATAAATTAAAAGCTTTTCTAACCCGTCCACCACTAGCCTCTCAGGATGACTTACAATGAAAACGAGTAAGATAAACAAGAGTATGACAACTTCAATTTGGTCATTTTTGCTTCCAGGACAAGTTCCGGCTTGATTTGATCTGGGACCCATTTGTTCATCTTTCTTTCAGTCTAGCGGATCTGCAAAGCTCCCCTCCAGCACCATGTTTGGAGTGCATCCATTTTCTTATTGTAACCTTTCTTCACGTTCACACCCATGCACAGTGATGGGAATACAATACTGTGGATGATCTTGGCCTTGGTCCCCAGTGAAACCTTCCTATACTTGAGGGTCTTTTCTAGCACCTTCATTTTTACCCTTTCAAGTCTCGGTTTTCTTCGAATTTCTTGGTTGCAGTCTCCATTTGAAGTGATGACTGAACCAAGTGAGGCAAAATCCGTTACAATTTCAATTTGTTCTTTGTTGACATTGCAGTTGTGTAATTCTTCTGGAGTCACGATTCTTGTTTTCATAGAGTTTGGCTGCAGTCCTGCTTTTGCATTTTCTTCTTCCCCTTTCATCAGGAGTTGTTTCAATTCACTGCTGCTTTCTGCAGTATCGTCTGCATATCTGAAATGACTTGATGCTCCTCCACCAATTTTCACTCCTTCTAAGCCAGCTGCACTTATTCCTCACCTTCTACCCCTTGGGAGGAACCCAAGGTAATTCAAACTGTTCTCCACCGCTCCACTGTCATCTTCATGATCCTGACCCTGCAGTTGGGCTGAATGGGCCCAAAGCCACCACTGAGCTTCATGGTCAAGTGGGGACTAGAACTGGGAGCCCTCCCATCCCTAATCCAACATCCTGACCACCACCCCAACAACAATACCGCTACTGGTGGGATTCAGCGCTACCAAAGCATCCACACAGTTACCTTATCAGGCTGATCCTCTCTGCTAAGATCTCGGTGTCCTCTTTGGTGGGGGGAACATTTTCCACAAAAGCAATCCCATAGAACAAGAAGTTCTGCAGGAACTCCTTCAGGCCCTCGTTGGTGCCCAGGAAGCTCTGGCAATCCACAGACGGCACCTGGGCCTCCTGGTAGATCTGGGCGTTCCAGAGGATGCGCGGATGCATCACCTGCTGCTTCTGCCCCTCGTAGCTGTTTTTCAGCAGCCACTCCAGCCTGTATCTGGTCACGTGGCCGTCTGGCCCTGGTGGTGGAGGAGGAGACACAGACAGGGTTACTGTGGATGTCCTTCAGAACATTAGGCAGGGGTGCTGAGCCTCCTCCAGCCTAAGGGCTGAATTCCATGCTGGAGCACTCTCAGGGCACACGTTCAGGTGATGGGCAGGGCTGAAAGGAAATACGCAGCAAATATGCCAGCATATTTTAGCTTAAAGCTTGCACTGCCTGTAACTAAGCCTTAGGAGTCTATTTACACCTTCTAACATGGGGGTGACAGACACAGAGACCAGAAGCCACCAAGTGATCGATGAAGGGGGGAAGAGGGGGTGCTTTCTAGGGGACCCTAGAAAATTGGATCAGGACAACAAAGTGGGCTGGATTTGGCCCATCGGCCTGAGGTTCAACACCCCTGCATTAAAGACAAATATGAACACCTGTTAGCTTAATACTTTTAAAAGGGGAGAGAGAGAAAGAGTGCACTGTTTGTTCCTTCCAGCAACATCTGATGCAAATGTTTGTGATGGATGATGAACATATAATAAATGTAGTAAATAAAAATGTGAATGTAATAAATAGATAAAATATAACGGAGCATCCTAGAAGATGCAGAAGACCACACAGCAGTGTGACGGAGCACCTGCTTCAATGCTTGCTGTTGTGAGCTTGGGTCCCTTCAATGAGGAAAAAAGGTGGGATACGCATGCAGGGTAACAGGCACAACTCGCTCTGGAAACACATCCTTTGAGGCTCTTCTCACCTCGCCCCAAGGTCTTGGGTGGAGGTAGGAAGAGTGCCCCAGAAACTCACAGGTGAGAAAGAGCGTGGTCTCGTCCACGCGGACCGTCTTTGGCCGGATGCACAGGTCCACGCTGGCCGTGTCCAGGCTGCGCTGGTTGGTCTTCGTGTTGTAGCAGGACGCCGAGCGGCAGTGGTCGCGCAGCCAGACGTAGTCGAAGCGCATGATGGTGCCCTCGTACTTCACCTCTAGGAAGGCAACACACAGGGCCCAGGTCAGAAGATGGAGCGAAGAGTCTCTTCCCTTGTGCAGCTGGAATCCCAGCTGTAGAGGCAGGCGGCCCCAGCTTCACGTGGACTAGAATCACCCTTGTCCATTTCAGGAAAGCAGAGGTCAAGCAAGCTTGTACTGCTGCCAGGAGCTAGACAGGCTTCCCCCGGCATGGCCAAGTACACGGATGGTTGTGCCCTCTTTGCTCCAAGGACATGGCTGAGGCAACCCAAGCAGGGGCAGAGGGGCAGATGGAAAACTCTCCTTTGGTCTAGCAATATGCCCTGACCATAACCTATGACCTAAATGGCTTAGTGTCTTAGTCTAGAGCGTAGGTAGAGGAGATCAAGGGGCAATTCTGACCGAACACACTTAAGAGCCCACCATCGGGCCTACGCTGTGGCGGTGAGGGCGGTGAAGAAAAAATTCTTCTCCATTTCCATTGCCTCCTCACAATGCCGTCCAGCGGAGCTTTTTCGGGTGGTGCAGGGGCTGGTACATCTGGGCCCAAAGAAAGATCTTGTGCCACCCTCGAAGGCCCACTGTGATGACTTTGCCAAGCATTTCAGGGAGAAAATCGCTCAGATTCGCCACGAGCTTGACTCTACTATTGAACCAGATTCTACTGGGGAGACGCCATCGACGCCATCGAGTCCACAATTAATGGATGAATTTCAGTTGTAGTGGCCTGATGATGCGGACAAGGTGCTTGGACGAGTACGCCCTACCACCTGCTTACTAGACCCATGCCCATCCTGGCTACTTAAGAAAGCCAAGGACGGGATTGGCACCTGGATCCTGGAGGTGGTCAACGGCTCTTTAAGAGACGGCCGGGTACTGGCATCCCTGGATCCAGAGGTGGCCTCCAATTATAGACCGGTGGCCAACATCCCATTCCTGGGCAAGGTACTAGAGCGGGTGGTGGCGGGACAACTCCAAGCACTCTTGGATGAAGCTGATTATCTGGACCCATTTCAGTCTGGCTTCAGACCCGGGTATGGCACTGAATCTGCCTTGGTCGCCCTGTATGATGACCTGTGCAGGGAGAGAGACAGGGGGAATGCGTCCCTGTTAGTTCTCCTGGACCTCTCAGCGGCTTTCGATATCGACCATGGTATCCTTCTGAATAGGCTGGCGGGATTGGGAGTTGGAGGCACCGCGTGGCGGTGGTTCCGCTCCTATCTCAACGGCTGATTCCAGAAGGTGGTGCTGGGGGACTGTGGCTCTGCGCCATGGCAGTTATGCCATCGAGTTCTGCAGGGGTCCATTTTGTCCCCTTTGCTATTTAACATCTACATGAAACTGCTGGGGGAGGCCATCAGGAGGTGTGGCCTGTGGAATCATCAGTACGCTGATGGTACCCAGCTCTACCTCTTGTTTTCCACCAATCCAGGTAAGGCAATGGCTGTGCTGAACCGGTGCTTGGCCGAGGTAATGGGCTGGATGAGGGCCAATAAACTGAAGCTCAGTCCAGACAAGACGGAGGTCCTGTTGGTGGGTGGCTCGGGCCTCGGGATGGGGGACTTGGGCCTTGTCCTAAATGGGGTTGCACTCCCTCTGAGGGACAGGGTTCGCAGCTTAGGAGTGCTCCTCGACCCGGAGCTGTCTCTGGAAGCCCAGGTGATGGCAGTGGCGAGGAACGCCTTCCTTCAGCTTCAGCTGATCCATCAGCTGCATCCCTTCCTGGAGAACGACTGCCTGGTGACAGTGACACACGCGCTGGTAACTTCCTGATTAGATTTCTATGTGGGGCTACCCTTGAAGATGGTCCAGATACTTCAATTGGAGCAGAATAGAGCTGCCAGGTTGCTGACGGGGACTGGGCGTTGTTCTCATATAACCCCAGTTCTCCGTCAGCTCCACTGGCTCCCGATTGAAGTCCGGGTCTGATTCAAGGTGTTGGTTATGACCTATAAAGCCCTAAACGGCTTGGGACCTGGATATCTAAAGGAACGCTTGCGCCCATATATGCCCTCCTGCCCCTTGAGATCAGCAACGGATGCCCTTCTCTGGGAACCCTCTGTGAATATTAGGAGGGTGAGTACCCGGAGGAGGGCTTTCTCTGCAGTGGCGCCCCACCTATGGAATGCGCTCCCCAGAGAGGTCCGCCTGGCGCCGTCATTATTTGTTTTTCGGTGCCAGGCTAAGACCTTTTTATTTAAAACTTATTTTAATTGTTAAATTATTTGTATTTATAGGATTTTAAATTTTTAGCCGAGATGCACCGGAGGTTTTTAAATATTTTTTTATTGTTATATTGTTATTTATTTATGTATTTTGTTTCTGTTGTGAGCCGCCCCAAGGCTTTGTTGCGATGGGGGCGGCATAAAAATGTTTTAAATAAATAAATAACTAAATAGTGCCTGGTTACCTGAAGGGACCATCTCCTTCCAGATGTGCCTGCCTGCCCCTTAAGATCTGGGGCAGATGCTCTTCTCCAGGTGCCCTCCCTGAAGGGGATTAGGAGGGTGACCACCCAGAGAAAGGGCCTTCTCTGTGGCGGCACCCCAATTGTGGAATTCGCTCCCCAGAGAGGTTCACCTGGTGAAGTCACTTTATTCTTTTTGGCATCAGGTCAAAACCTTTTTTATTTTCCCAATGTTTTAGGACCTGACTGTTTTAATTGGGGTTTTATTATTAGTTGCATTTTTAGGATGCTGTGTTTTAAATTGTTTACATTTAAATTGTTTACATTTTGTATTGTTAAACTGTCCTGAGACTTAGGTAATGGGACCATCTAGAAAAGTTTTAAATCAAACAAACAATAAATAAACCTATATTGATTCCAATCCAGTGTGTTGGCTAGGAAAGGCTGCCACTTAGTGTCTGAGGATGTCATTGCAGGGTTCAACCCTGTGGTCACATTGAAATGAATTTAAATCTCTTAATGTGTTTTAAGGATCCCTGAATGCATCATTAATCAGCCAAAAGTGGTCTGCACTCCAGTGGTTCGAGTCCAGCCTCCGCCTGACACCTGATGTAGTTTCCTCCTAGCTCCCAGCACAACCTAGCAGTTCAAATGTGTGTCATGTGAGTAGATAAACAGGTACCACCTCGGTGGGAAGGCAACAGCGCTCTGTGATGTCATGCTGGCCACACGACTGCGGGATTATCTTCAGACAGCGCTGGATCACGGCATTAGAAACGGAGATGAGCACTGCCCCCTGTTAGCTGCTGACTAAGCGGATTAAAACCTGCAGGGACTCCTTTAATGTGTGCTAAGAACAAAGTAACTCCGAGCACCCCCGGCCCAATCCAGTTAGCACGCATGCCAAGTTTCAAGCGCCCGGGTATCGTGGTCTCGCAGCCATAGTCCTGATGGCAGACAGATGCACTCCCTCTCTCATGATTACAGAGTGTCCCCAGCGCCAGAGACAGCGGGCCTTTGACCACCAATTGCTGGGGAACACGAGTGAGGGCACCAGTACCAAAGGCAGCTGCTTGGCCACTGTGAGCAAACAGGGCACAGGAATAGGGAGGTGCTGGGTCTGATTCAGCCCGGGTTTTTTGTTTTGTGAGCTTGCTGCCTGCCTGGCTGCCCCCTCCATGTACGATGCGAATATGCACCAACAGTGAGCTCCTTCTCGGCAGGTGTGGATCCTTGTGCAGCCAAAAGAGCCCCGTCTGTGCAGAAGGCAGAAAAGGGGGATCCCGGCTGGTCTGAGAGAAATCCCATGTCTTGCAGAGTAAGGGCAATAAGGGCAGGGTAAGCTCAGCGGGGCGCAGAATTACTCTTGAGTGGGGGAACTGAAAATCAGCAAAGAGAGGGAGGAGAAGGGGATTGGAATGGTCCATCCTGGCAAAGGTTGGCTTGTTGGGCCCTCTTTCCCAAGATGGCACCCATGTACTCCAACCCTCACCCCACCTGGGCCTTTGACACTCCCAGTTCCCTTACCCAAGTGATCATCATTTAACTGCCAGGTACAGTTTGGTGATTCTGGGACCGTGTGGTGCCAGTGCGTCAAACTGGGCAGGATTTTCCTGAAGCTCGGCTGACAAGGTCCTTGGTGCTTGAGACTCTTTTTGGCCAGGCGGCGGGAGCTGGAAAACAGGCGCATCAGCTGGTGACCCCTCATCCTGGGAAAGGGAGATGGAGGGCGGGGGAGAGAGAGAGAGAGAGAGCTCAGTGACATGCTTGACATGTACCGCCACTGGTGGCAAGCGCGGCGCATGCCTCACCGCACATCTGGCTCTCTGGACCTGCCAGTAACAGAGGATCTGCTACTGTGCTGCAAGAAAGACGGATCTGTGCAATGTCAGGGCTGTAAAACCTCAGCCCAAAACCAGCTGGTGTTCTGCAGACAGTCCTGCTTGCTTCCCCTGCTGATTGTTTGGTTTCTGTGCAGTTCCCCCTCCCCACTGCATTCTTTGTTGAAAGGTGTTTCTGCAGACTTAGTGGCCAGCAGTAATAGATTGGGCTAGTATTTGTTTGGATTTTGGCCCCCATCTCTTTAGCCACAGCCCTTTTGCCTCCAGCCCCTGGAAGGTGGCTTCCCCATTTCCCCAAATGGGGCTTCTTTAGCGGAATTCAGCCCCTGGGCTGAAAGTCTCTGCTCCTGAGATCATGTTGCATACATGAGTCGGCTAGTGGAGTGCACCAATGGTGTAAATTGGTGTCTTGCATTTGGAGGCTGGACCGATGGCCTTCATGGCCCCTTTCAACTCTTACTCTTCTATGAATCTATGAGATGGCCATGTTATCTCACTGCTTCCACCAGCTTAACATATCCAACCCTTTCAACCTTTTCTCACTTTGTTGCCCTGTGCCAAATGAAATCTGTCCGATAAAAGATGCCGTAATCTAATGTGCCTCCGCTGGTTCTTTGATGAGACAGAAAAAAAAAACACTGGTCCTGCTGTCTCAATGCATTTGCAGCCTAAACTGTTTGCAAGGGAGAATAAGTTAAATTTCTGTGCACAGAAACCTGCAGTTGCAAAACTGCAGAAGGAAACTTATGGAAAAGACATTGCAGAGAAAATTCAATAAAACCTGACACACAAACAAGAAAAAAGAAAGCAGTGATAACAAAGAGGAGACTTAGTGGTATGCACTGCAGAATTAGTTTCCGATTCTTAATTCCTAAAAGGCAGCTGTGAGAAACCAAAAAACCGAAGAGTGGAGGTGTTGATTTCAGTGCAAAGCCTCTCTAACCACCTACCACCTGCAAGAAACTCAAGGGGTGACAATTCCTGGTGTCTACCAATGCAAATCTGTTAGCATAGAGAGGAAAGAGGTTCCACAGGCACAGTTGCTTGGACAAACCTGCTAAAAGCCTCTCCTCCGTTGCTGAGAGCTGTTATCGCCTCCTTGGCAGGCAGTCGCTATCACCCTTCCAGGCAGCCAGAGACATAGATGGGGCACATGCTGATCTAATCAATGGCTGCGATTCTGCACGCTCCATTCCATGTGCTTCTTGGGTGACATCCAACCCTTTCAGCCTTACAATAATCCAGGATGTTACAGAAGCCAAAGAAAAACTCACGTATAAGGTGGCACTACAGGAATTGCAGAAGAAAAAGCCGCTCCAAGTGGCTATACTTTTCCCAGCAGGGTCTTTCATTCTACCATCCTCCTCAACTTTCCTTGGCTCTCAGAGGGAACGGCACACATGTTCTGACCACAAAGGCGTGGAAGCACCTCCACGCTTCAGCTCAGCACAGGCAGGATGGACATCTGGGCAGACTCGTCCCGCCAAGTGCAAGTGCCACGATAATTAGGAGCACACAGTCCTTAAGGAAAGGAGCGAACCATGTCTCCTCCCCACCCCTCCCCTGCCGGCAGAGCTGGAATGCTGAGAGGCGCCCTGCACTGGGCGTGATCCAAGAGTCCAAACTGTCCAGAAAAAGCACAGTCATGAATCTTCAGTGGACTGTTCAGAGTAAACCAGAAAGGGGGCCAACTTGCTTGGGACACAGGAAGTGGGCAAGGGCAGGAATGCATTGCTATGGAGATCTGAAGAATGGGGAAATGGTTACGTGGCTGCAGGTCTAATCCACCCCTACTGCTGGGCATAGGTCAAGGAAGATTATTGCTGCTTTGGGCAAAGGTTGACATTTTCCATTGGGGTGAAAGAAAGAAGAAAAAGTGTCTGTGACATAAATAGAGAGAGAGAGAGAGAGAGAGACCATCTTGACTTCAGGCTTCTGGAGAGGGAATTGTTTGCTCTGAAGGTACAAAGCCAGCTGTCACTTTGAATGTTAAGATCATGCTAGTGGAACCCACAACCAAAGTCACAATATATTCTATACAGGTTTTCAGACTGCTTAATTTTCCAGTGGGATACCCTAAGATAGTCTTCTCCAACTTGGAACCATTAGGATGTTTAGGACTTCAATTCCTATCAACCACAAGTGGCATGGAATGGTCAGGAATGTGGGAGTTGTATCCAAAATACTGGGAGGGCACCAGGCTGGAGAAGGCTGTGATAAACCATTAGGGAGAGGTCGATAACTTTTCTTGGGCCCAGAGCCAAACTCCACTTCAGAGAAGCGGGAGAAGCGCTCCATGCTTCATATTTTCTGCAGGTGGCATTTGTTCTTCCCCCCTGAAATGCTAGCTGTTTTCACTTGTGCAAAGCTTGATGCTGACATGACTTCTATTTCTCAATGGACCCTATTTTGGCTTTAATACTACAAGCACAGAGGTCAGCACTGTAGAAAGGGTGTGATGAATGAATGAATTCTTGCATTTATAGGCACACTAGCTTTCTATCAAGGCATGCAATGCAGCTTACAATTTACAATGCACTTCGCAATGCAAACCAATCCAACAGCAAACAAGAACAGCTTCTTGGGGAAACAGGGTTCGGCAACCCTGGCTGAAGACCCAAGCAAGCTGCATTACTCCACCTTCCCCAGGTGAAGCAGGAACACAGCTCTTTGGGCAGTCACTGTTTGGGACCATTTAAACTGATGAAATCAAATACTTATACCAGATCCTACACCTTACTGCCTGAGGCTTTTGCATATGGATGCTGGTCCACACTGATGAAGTTAGCATAGCGTGATGACTCACAAATGCCCATTCTGGGGAAGGATTTTTCAGGCGGCAAAACCATCACACCCTCTGCACGCAAGCATTGTGCACACAATACACAGGGCCAGCAAAATCATCTGTCACGCTTTGATCAAACAGACCTTAATTCTCAAGCCAAGCATGAGCTTAAATGATCTTGTTTTTGGAAGACATGCTGTGCAATCTACAGGTCTTTATGGATCAAGTTGAATAGTTCAAACAGCAATAAAGTGAACTTTGAAATCAGGTTCCTCTTAAGAAAAGATACAAAGTGACTTACAACAAAAGACTTTACACATGCAACATACACAATAACTAGAAACAATTTCCATCAAAATATCGAAAGTGTAACAAGAAGAATAGAAACTTGCTGGTTTTCTAAGTATATGTGATCCTGTGTGTTTTCTCCCTCTCTCTCTCACAAACACACTGCAGTTAATGCAACTGTTCTACAAAGTTTCCATACACTTAAAAAACAATTCCACAGACTTAACAGACAACACTGTAACAACAGCATTCCAGATCTCCAAGGAAAACATCCAAACATACACCATTGGCTGAAAGCTTCTAGGAAAAATGTTGAAGTTGATCAAAAAGCAAGTGAGAGACAGGGCTTGCAACAAATTTTTGCTAGAACTTCGCTGATTCAGATTTGTCTCTCATCAACTGCTTGAAGTCCTCCTCAGGTCCATTAATTTCCCAGCTGGGTCTCAAATTATTTGCTCACTCAGCAGACAGTGTTATCCACCCTTGTGCAAGAACACCTCTGGTCCAAAAAAAAATTGCCCAAATGAGGTTGATTTTGACCATTTTAACAGAGCACAGGCCATCCAAAAGCATAACCCCACCTCCGGGAGAATCCAAAACAAGACAAGCCCCCCTGGGGATGTGGGGTGGAGGAATCACTGGACCAGTTTGCTCATACCATGATGCACATCACAACACAACTGGCTTTCCTTGGACGAAAGGAAGAAACCTCCCACCTTGGCTAGGATGAGGTCAGGGCTAGTGTCGAGCCCAGCAGGAAAAATGGCACTCCAAGACGGAAGAGGCTTCGGCGAATGGGGCAGCATAGAAATGTTTTAATTAATAAATAAATAAATAACTAAATAAGAAGCAATGAAGAGGAGGCAGGCAAGCAAGGAGAAGCACAAGGGAGGTGTGCAGAATTATGTACGACTTGGAGAAAGTAGATGGGAAGAGCTTTTTCTCTCTTTCCCGTAATAAGAGAGCCAGTTTGGTGCAGTGGTTAAGAGCATGGGCCTGGGACTCAGGCAACTTGGGTTCTAGTCTCCACTCAGCCATGGGGCTAACAGGGTGACTTTGGGCCAGGCATAGACTCCAACCTGCCGCACAGGGTTGCTGTTCTGGGGATAAGACTGAGAGCAAGAGGAAGAGAATGATACAAGCTGCTTTGAGTTCTTTAAAAAAGACCAAGGTGGGATAAACATCTAATAAATAAATAAGATACTAGAATCCTGGTCATTCCATGAAGTTGATTGGTGGAAGATTCAGGACTTCAGGACTTCACACGGTGCACAGTTAAGCTATGGAATTCTTTCATGAAACGATGGTCACCCGTTTGAATGACTTTAAAAGGGAATTGGAGACATTCATGGAGAAGCAGCTATGCATAGCTAGTTGTCTGTTTTGCAGGATCCTGCGGGCAGCTGCGTGGCCGCTGTGTGAACAGAATGCTGGAGCTGGTGGATCATTTGTTTGACCCCGTGCGGCCTCTCTTATGTTCTTTTTGGGCTGTCCGCCCATTTGGCAATTTGATCCACAGCCAAAACTGGCTGCTCGGGCAGTCAGAGCAAAGGACAGAGCTGCCTGAAAGACAGTCCAAGGCAGGAGTGGCACCAGAGGTAAAAGAACTCCTTCAAACTCACAGATTTCAACACCAACAGGAATACCCTTCCCAGTAACAGGAGTTGTCAGCAGGAAAACGTGTTTTGCCTTTCTTTAAGTGGGAGGCCTAGGGAACCATGGGGAGCACCAGGGAAGGTGTCCAGGAAATATATAGGTGCCCACGGGCGTCACACTGCCTATCTTTTAATTGGCACTGTTTTTCTGTTGCCAGCACATCAGCACTGAAGAGCCTGGAAGCTGGTCTGGACTCTGTCTAGCACTAAGTGGCCATTTGCATCTCTGTGAGTCAAGCCAGACTTTCTGGCCTGATCTTAGCCTATTTTATCTATGGCCTGCAGGCAACTTCCCATTCACTAGCTTTTCAGGTCCTCTTCCAACATCTCGGCTGTGGCAAACAACTATTTATTCTTTGCACCACCCTAGCCCACCCTACTCATCATTCCAGTGCTGCAGGGGGGTCTCATCTCTTTCAATCCCAATTACTTATTGGCGGTCTTTGACAGCACACCCCTCCCTCCAGTCTCACACAAACCCTCTAGGTAGGTGCTAGCTGGGTTTCACACAGAATCTTAACACACTCTTGCCACCCAAGAGAGGAACAACCTAAACAATAAAACCTGGACAGTCATCTGAGTGGGATGCTGCGACTTGCATCCTGCTTTAGCTACAATTCTATGAACCTCCACATCAGTCTTTGATGATATGTAGGATCTCTTCTCTTAACGAATCATGCAAGTCAAAGGGAATTTAAAACACATCTTGTTTTTTTAATTGTTCCAAAGCTCCAACCTGTTGCCCAAGTCCAGCATCCTACAGACTGCCTCCCCACAAACACCTAGAGGGCCAGAGGTGATGGGGCTGATGCTGAGTACCACATCTTTTCTTCCTTCTTGGAATAGATGTTAGAGTGAATGAGAGCTTGCCATGCATGTACATGGTTACAGATACTCAGTTTATTCTTTTTTTATTTGTAAAATGGATCGTCCTTTTCTCTACCAAAGTAGTGCTAATTCCCACATCAAAGTCTTCAGCATCAGGGCAGCAGAAGCAAACTTTATGGCTCTTGTTGCTGCACTGGTGCCAGATTTTTGCATTACCACAATGCAAGACTGACTATAGTCTGTCTGTCTTTCTAAACTGGGTTCTGTAAACTGTATTTTGGTTGTGGTTGCTTGTTTTCACAAATCAAGAATGTAGCAGCAATGATAAAACATGGAATGAATGCATCGGAGAGGTGAAGAGAAATGTTAATTTTGAGTTTTCAAGTGAAGCAATAGGCAGTGTTGAAAGTGGAGTGGGGGACATTCAGTCCAAGGCCAACAAGTCCCATCCCCTGCAGGCATGCAAATAGGGCATATATAGGAAAATGGCCATAGAGTCTCCTCTCGTCTCCTCTCCAGCAAAACAAGGAGAGCCAGTGTGGTATAGTAGCTAGTGGGGACTGGGACTCCAGTGATCCAGGTCATAGTCCTCATCGGGCCATCAAGCTCATTGGGTGACATTGGCCCAATCCCTTACTCTCTGGCTAAGCTACCTCACAGGGCTGTTGTGAGGATAACATGGAGGGATAGAATTATTAAGTCCCCTCGAATGGCTGAGAAATGCTAGGGCTGTTCAAACATGCATAGGATTGGACCCTGGGGGCAAGATTTATAGTGAGTGGATACATCCTTAGTAAACACTTTTGGTGAAGATAAAAGCAAGCAGGAATCAACTCGATTTGAAAAAGGGATGTTTCCTACTGGTAAAGTCCTCCTTCAGTGTATGCCCATTCTTGATATGTCAGAAAAATCTCAAGGATCAAGGAACAAGTGACTCTCTTACACCCATTT